ATTGATTCTTTTTCATAGTGGCATGAACTGTTTTTTACAACTTCACCAAATTCTGATTTCACATTCCAAGCATTAAGAAAGGTGTTTAGTCGAGGTGTTCCCTTGGTGTTGGTGACTGATAATGGCTCACATATTGCTGCAGATGCAGTCACTACCTGGTTGAACGGTATAGGGTGCAAACATCTATTTACTGCTCCCAGACATCCGTGTTCTAATGGTCAGGCAGAGAATTTTGTTAGGACATTAAAGACTGCTATTGATTCTATAGCCCCCTCAACATTTAATGAGCTGGAGAGGGGAGTAGATACCTTTCTATTGTAATATAGAAATGCCAGACATTCGGTGACGAAGGAGACTCCAGCGAAGCTATTGAAAGGAAGAATTCTTCGGTCGAATATGAGGTGTTTGGAGTCTGCAGAAGTTACATACTATCGGGGAAATGATCTTCGACCATCTACTGGTATTGTTCTGAAAAATGTCGGAAAATCGATGGTGCGAATTCTAGACATCGATGACTTAAATCCACACAGTCGACATGTAGATCAAATACAATTTCAGGAACCAGGCGAGTCAGTTCCAATTTCGATTGTTAATTCTAATGCTAATGAGCATATTCTAGATAATACAGAATCCTTTTCCAACACAATGTCAGACAGACTGAGGATGAATTTGAGAAGAAGACGTACGATTAGATTACAAACACCTAGACTCCAATTTAAGCTGTGGCGGATGTGGTGTTTGAACGAACTAACGATACTTTTGTACTTGTTGAATGCTTGATTTCGAATTCCAAATACAATACATTCGCTTGTGCTCGTGTCTTACTTCTTAATTCGATTGCATTATCTCTGGGACTCTTAGTTCGTGCTATAATTCAAATAATTTGAATCATTACACATGTGCAGTAAGAAAATACACAAACACTAATCGTATTGTCCGAGTGATACTTTATCGATGTATCACTTCTTCTCATCTAATTATTTTGCGGATCACTCCATTATGATCATAATTATTATTATTTTCTCATTATCGGATTATCGTCACTTTGTCAGCTAACTTAGAAATATTAGTTCTGCTCGTATCGAAGTTGAACTGTGATATTTACTAGATTATATTACTCACCCATCAAATAATAACTTCATTGGTGATGCACTTCCGTCCTGATATTCGTAACTCACCAAACTTTTATTTATCATTAAATAACGTCCAGGTTTCCTGCTTCAGTTGAGTTTATTTCATTTTATGTGCAATTCTGCATCATATTATTATTTCTTCATCCACGTAATTGAAGTCATTTTAGCGTTAGCTCAAACATTTCGGTATCGCTCTTTACTTCATTTCTGTCGATGAGACCACTGTCCCATACACCTGTCCATGGCATGCAATTATTCGATGTGTGTTGGCTGTCCTTGATCTAGACGAGAACCCGTAAACTGTTTGACACCAAATGATCTATCTGATAGGTGATTTTGCTAGGGCATAGTGACATTTGATGGCCTTAGAAGTTAACTGCTATCCACTATCGTTTTTAGGTATCACACAACCATCTCCCAGTAAGAAGCTACTAGGATTTCTAGAAATTCGGACATCTCAAGAAGCGGAACACGTGTTAAACGCAAGGGAAAGTTACAAAACTTCAGAAAAGACGGAGAGTGAGAACGTTTTTATATTACTGGGAAACCAGTTGCTATAATGCGCAGTGTCTAGTAGATTCTTGAAAGTACTTTCCATGCAACATCTAATTGAGCTTTTAAAGCTCGGGCGCACATATACATATGAAATTTGAATTAAAATATCTACCCATAACGTGTATTTGAAACCTAATGATAAGCGAACTATTTTGAATGGTGCGAAATGTGAAGTGAGACCGTTTAATCAATGGTGGCACACAAAACAAACTAAACGCTAATAATTCAGAAGGGGTTGGCGAACAATCACGGAAGGCAAATTTCAGCAGAAAAATCGTATAACACTATACTGATAAAATTTTAACTTTGCTGCTGATAAATCAGAAGACGATAACACAGAGAGCATATGTGTGTGTGCACCGCAACATTATACAATGATTACATATTGTTCGTATTACTGTGATAATATAATCAAAAAACATAAAATGTAAACTACACTTCCATGTCAAGAAGTGAAGAGAATGTTGAGGCTTTTTAAAAATCAGAAGTCAATTAGTTATTCTCAGTCACCGAAAAAGGATGATAATGCATGTTTTCTCCAGGCTGGTCTGGACATGTTACTGATATAACTGGGCACTGAGCGTGCTCTTCGAGTTCGAAGTAACCTCATTTATGTCTCAACAATAACCGAAGAGATCCACTTTTCCACTATCATACTATAGTACTTGACCATTTCTTAATTTGTATCATATTTTACTGTTAGGTTTATTGAATAGAATGTACAGTAAAAGCGTTGCCACCAGTACTTATACTATGAATACATGGGTAACTGACAAAGATATAAATCCTAATTAAGAGGTTAAGAATATTTCGAAAATCTCGTCTCTAGCGACAGGGTCAAAGAAATTTCAAGATGACATCAGATAAAGAATCAACAAGTAATGTGTACATTATGGGTAACTCAACCAAAGCAAGAAAACTGAATCTCCAGCGAGGTATTCAGGAAAACAATTCTACTTGGGTTGTACTCCTGGTGATGTAGTGAACAGAATAGGGGTGAGGACAATCGAATGCATTTAACACTAAATTAAAGGATTCGTTAATACAATCTAACAATCATAAAGTAAATGATTAATTTGCAAAATGTCAACCAATTGTCTCAAAATGACTCAGACTTGTAGTGGCATTAGACCATAACCACACAATCTTCAAAGCTGAACACAAGACTACTCAGAAAATAGATATTCAATATTCAACACGGAGAAATATTTAACAATGGAGAAGGCGCGAAGAATGAATTGACCGGACTGGAGTTGATCGAGTGGCATGGCTCGGCCATGCAGGCGTGGTCTCTGCTGAATGTTACCTTTTATCTTCTATTCATATTAAATATATTGTTCTTTCTCTAGCCTAACCTTGTTCTACATCATGTATTGGTAATTGATACGATACAGTGAGTTGGTGTAGTCGATGGTGTGACCTCCACGTAAGATCTTATAGATTGGGCAGTTATATCATGACAAATCTACAAATTTAGGATTAGTTCTATTATTAGAGCAGTACTAATATCATAGTAGACCATAATTCTACAGACTTCCTTGTTTTTGCATTTTCGTAAAAATTGCGTCCTGTTTCCATTCTTTACTGTTCGATCCTCTTGCCTCTCTGCTGCCAGACCTCCTGTTCACGACTAACATCCTATAATACTTATGTCAATATAAGTAGCTGGGTTGCTGCTGCTGTTATATTGAGGTACCTACGCAGCACTACAACTCCATATTAAGTGACCTCTGTCTGTGTTCTGGTATGTTTACTCACTGCGTAGAAAAATTACACGAACTGAACCAATAAGAGGCAAGCAGAAGTTTTAATTGAAAGTAATGGTACCAGTTTCTACCAAAATATACGAGTTTTCAAACGCAGACTAACTAAAACACGTGACTATGTGAGCCACAACCCGAGCTCATACACCAACAAAACCGCCAACCGTTTCTAGCGCCTTGATATCTGCTGACAGTAAGGAGCGATGGATGAGTGTCGAGAAGAAAAAGTGGCAAAAGTATAGCTCTTCGAACGCTGAAAATTAGAGAAAAAGACGTTAGATAAAACTTCTTGATTTTTTTTAATGTTCTGATGTCGGAGAGTAGCTTAACAGAAGATAAGGTAGCTTTTGTTAAAGAACAATGTGACAAGCACTGTAAAATACTGGGAAAAGATATTATTTCAGCCAAACTATTTCACTTGTGTAGGGGCTTAATAACCTCAAAGTCGTTCCTAACACCTAGGACGTATGCACAGCCCTAAGTTAGAGTTCACAGAGTCGTTACACCCATTCCATTCAAAAGAGATATAAATTTTCTGGACGAAGTACAGAGAGCAGCAATCAACTGGGTGACATATCTAGAAAAAAACCAAAGAAGGACAGGATTCATGTCTGAGTTTGTTCTCACTGAGCTACCGAAAAGTGGGAGACGATCTGATGATCGAATATGGCATACTAAGTACGCCAAGTCACTTGTAACGCTAGCACATTACTAGAATGTCATCATTACGCTCCTCGAAGCAACAGTCGAAAGATTGCAAGTCGAGGAGGGAACATCCGGGTATGCTATTACTTTTATTCACAAATAATTGTCTCCATTTTGAATGCCACTTTCAGCCGGAGTGACCATGGCCTCTTCGAAGGATAGTTTTAGGAGGAGCCTTGACAAGCACATACCCACCCATGGATTACCATCTCCCTCTCGGGCCAGCCGTGGCTGATGCATGTCTCGTAATTTTCCACAGTTATCATTGCTGCATTAACAGCAACTGCTTCCTACCTCTTTAATAATCACCTCCGTCCCTTTCTTATTCTTTTACATCCAGCTTCTTACATACAATCAATTAGGCAAAGTAATTATTTGTTATTTAAATAAATGATCTCTTAGCAATTGAATTGTTACTTTATTGTTTTACATTCCAATTAACCAACCTCCTGTCTGGTAATATCATGGCTGCTGGCATCCAGGATCCCTACTGTCCGAAGTCGAAGCACCCGCGCAACCATAAGATATACATACCCACAAATAACTAGTGCACTGATTAGAGTGATCACCATCCAGACCGGACCACTAACTATTGCACACAACTAATACCTGAAACTCAACTGGAAAACAAAGAGGCAAGCACAAAGAAATCTACTGGTTTATACAAAGCTCGTGACACAGATACTGGATATATTGCGACTAAGACATGTGTTTGCATGTGCATTGCGAAGTCGAATACCATAAGCAAAAGAAACATATTCAATATTATTTATCGCCAAAAATGACATGGATTTACACACATAGCTGAGGTTTATTGCCTTTTCATCCCTGAGTACAACTATGATTTCTGTCTTACCGGGGGACGTTTGAAAAGTCTAGGTCATTGTTTCGTTAATTATCTCGCCTTTACTTTTTCATTGTTGGAAACATGTCTTATATGCTTTCTCACCTAACTAATGGCTGGCAAGTAGATCAGGCTATACTATCTGAAGAGGACAGAGTTGTCATCATACGCTTCGGTCACGACTGGGATCCGTCGTGTATGGTCATGGATGAAACTCTTTTTAAAATCGCCGAGAGAGTGAAGAACTTCGCAATCACGTACTTAGTTGACATAACTCAAGTTCCAGACTTCAACAAAATGTACGAATTGTACGATCCTTGCACTGTTATGTTCTTTTATCGTAATAAACACATTATGATTGACTTGGGAACAGGTAACAACAATAAAATCAACTGGCCCATAGCGGACGGACAGGAATTTATAGATATTGTTGAAACAGTGTATAGGGGTGCAAGAAAAGGTCGGGGCTTGGTCGTTTCTCCAAAAGACTATTCGACTAAATATCGGTATTGAGTTATGTACTATTTCTTCGTCTTGTTATGTATTTCTCAGTTCTTATCCTGCATTTCTGTGTTAATAAAATGTTTATAAATCTCAACTAAAGTTTGGTTGTTACTCCATTTATTTACAGTATTGGCAAATAAAAGTCTAGTGTATTATATGTAGGCCTAATATTTATTCGATATGAGAATATCTAGGCCGTCACTTATGCAATACTTACCGGAGAACGCTTATGGCACTAAATTATCATGACAAATATTTTACAAATTTTGGATCTAAATATTCACAAACCTGGGTTTCCATATTTCTGTTACATTTTGCTTTTTAATCTGTACATCACATCACATGTAATGATCTTCCAAGTAACAGGTAGTCTACCGAACCTAATTGTAATGAAATACGTAAACAATAAGCACTTCTAGGTTTCGAACAGATGAACAAGCATAGACAGGACTACTCCCTGTGTACATATCTTTTTTGACTGGTTTTAATGTTATTTCCGTATGTTCTGTTATTATCAGCTGCATCTAAAAGCTCATATATTTTAGCTTCAACTGGGGTTGCATTGATTAAAACTTTGTAGAATTATAGAGTGGTTATGATTTACACTGTACTGTCAAGTCCGTTCGTATCCAACTAACACTAATGAACTTAGTTTATTTTTGTGTATTTCTGACAAATGTCTCTTGGTTCAAATAATTAAATAGGCGAACTGGAATAAAAAATCCCCAACATAGCTGTGCATTTATCACTGTGAACCAAGTACCCAGTTCTAAGTTTGAGGATGTTTACGTCCTGAGTGTGAACATTTTCTCAAAGTAGTTGAGAGATTTCTTAGAAAAAGCTAGTCGCCGTTTGATATTAACTACTGTGACACGCCTTTAAAAAGTCCGTCAAGTCTTTTACACATTTTTTTGTGAAAAGCAGTTTCAGTGACTCAAAATGTTAGGTAATATCTTTCAAAAGTGACCACAACGCCACTGATGCTACTTCGGCCTGTTGTTGTCAATACAGCTATGAAATTCGCCCGTAGTTAGCTTACTGTCTAGCCAATCGAAGTAGGATTCTGTGGTCGGACTAACCGATACAGCAACAGGAACTAACCCATTTTCTTGATTTCTGAAACTTGTCACTGTAGTTATTGTTACTTACCGAAATTTTAAACCGAATTGCATCGTCGTATTTACAACCATGAAATATATAGCATACTTTAGCATGTTGTCTGTGAAAAATTGAGTGATATACACTTGTCATGTTATTCACAAATACAGCTTTAGTTATGCCTCATGATCAGGAGTATAAAGTGAAGTGAATCCTTGTCTTTCAAATGTGTTATAGTTCAACCCAGCTTGTTATATCTAATGACAACATGTAAAATTCGGATGTGGACTAACTAAACGGAAATTAAGTTCCGAGAAGGGGTATGACCAAAACAAAATGTCAAGTATTTTAGGCAGTACAGATGCATTCATTGTCGTTGCCCTTATTTTTTTTAACTCAACCGCCAGTATGAATTGATGTGAAGTCACTAAGACGAGTGCTTTTTTAATGTTACTTAAGATCACAGATGGTTTGCTTTCTGAGATTCGGTCATACTTTCACTGCACCAGTCTATTGTCTCATTTAGTCACCGAGGTATCTGTATGATGTGTATACCCATTCACTTCCACCAAAGCTCAGTACGGTTCCGCTTATTGAGTTTTGTTTTATCAGGAGTGAAATTACTTTCTGAGTGCCCCAGTGAATGTAGTTTTCATTGCGTCGTGACACGAGAAATACCTCATTTTGCATATTGATGGGCTTGTCTCGTAGTCATCACAAACAGCAAGGTAATGAGTCATTCAAAGTTTATGTGTTCTTATATGAGTAGCTAAGGCGATGGATACTCTTAACACGTCAACTTCCTGCACCCAAACTAGATAGGTTACTGTGCTAGTTCCAAACCTTCACTCCACGGTTCGTCAGTTGACTATATGAGTATTCTAAAACCCCTTTAAGCTAATACACCATGAAGTGTAAGACCTTGAAGGCTTATATCTACATATGCTTGTTCTATCAATAATTTTCTCATTTAAAGCGTATATACTGCAGTAGAAATTTTTTCGAACGCATCTATTAGCAACCTTCCTGAAACTGTGCTTGTCAAAATGGTTTGCTCTATTTTCTCTAAAACCGCTGGTTTGTTGGAGGGATGTGTTTAGTTCAAATTTACCCTATGAAGTGCGTAACCAACACATTTACTCGTTCACCAATAATTAGAAGTGTATACTATCAAATACCTAAAAGCGTGATTAAAATATATTCAAGGCTTTTTTTGACAAGTTATCTTCAAGCATAAAAGCACTTGCGTCTAGACCCTATAATAGTGTTGAGATGTGTTGTGAGCTAACTTCTCTAAAACAAGTCTATGATGCTAGTCTGGCGTGAATGTCATTTCTGTATCAAGACTATCAGAATTTTCTTGAAAGTTGTGAGGCTGAATGACCATTATAGATTTTCGTTTTTTCGCTTCTGTAATTTTTAAAAACTTATTAATGGTTATTATACGAGGACAACAATAAGTTGTCCTTATTTCTGTAACTTGCACAATATTGGTCTTTTAGACTACTCTGACCTTATTACTAGCTGATCTCTAAGATATGTACTTAGTTTATGAATGGTTTTACGCATACGTTTACAATTATCACTGTAAGTAGCTTCGTATATGTCCGTTTATTCTCATATGACAAAAAAGATTGATTTCTAGTAACTAGTAGAGTTATGATTATTGTTCATTAGTTTATTCATTTGTTCTTCATTAGATATCAACAAACTGTTGGTAATCATCCGTAATCCTGATGTATTTTTTCTTCAGACTTTTTCTTTAAGGTTAAAGAGGGATGTTAAATATATCTGATTTATCTGATACCGATCGAGAACGTATCGGGAAACTGTTCAGCGATTTAGATATAGATAAAGACGGTCGTATCAGTGTTAATGAACTTAGTCGTGTCATAAAAGGAAGCAAAGATGAATCAGATACTAAAAACAAAACAGCTAAGAAAATTATGACCAAAGGAGATATGGACAAAGATGAAACACTTACATTTCAAGAGTTTCTTTCTTACATTCATGACACTGAAACTCATTTGAAACTCGCGTTTAAAGAAATTGATCAGAACAGTGATGATCGAATAGACGCTAGCGAAATCCAGTCAGCCATGAAAAGACTTGGTGCTAATGTGAGCGAAGCTGATGCACAGAAGTTGCTTAAGCGTATAGATAAGGACGGTTCCTTAGACATTGATTATAAAGAATGGAGAGACTTTTTGCTATTTAGTGGGACTTCAAAGATTGATGAAATATTTAGATATTGGCGACATGCATCAGCCATTGACATAGGTGAAAATATGTGTGTTCCGGATGATTTCACAGAAGAAGAAAAGAAATCGGGAGATGCTTGGAAAACATTGGTCTCAGGAGGTTAGTACTGTAATTTGAGTTCTAGTGTTCATTTACCTTTTACATTTTTATCTGGTAACTTAAACATTTTACTTCTAATTAAAGGAATAATGCATACGAAATTTGTACTTTCTATTCTTTTAGACTCTCTGTGTAACGTGTGGTTGTTGATAATTGGATTTCTGGTACTTAGCATAACTCTTGGACCGGTTAAGATATTTATACAGAGCTAGCATTTAAAACGAAACAACTTAAGTGACATATTGCATCAAGTATTTACAGTATGAGTTGTTATTAGTATAATGAGTTTGTCGCAACAGTTACAAGTTGGCTGTTCTATGCCTTTTCTACTATAAAGATAATTTACAGTCTTTTAGTTCTTATTCACTTCTACTTGAGTTGACGTAATCGACAGATAAAAATGGATCGAGTACCTTTGTATAGTTAGTAACAGTTCCCCTTGTTGCAGAAATGACGGATTACCTTCAGTTTTCTACATTAGCTAGATGGCCGTTAATTAAGTGCCGTTTGAGGTGAAAACAGATTACTTTTTTACTGTTAGTGGTATGTTTGATTCTGCTACGATATCTGTTACTCAGTTTATAGTTGACATCATTGATGATTGGCACGAAATATAGTCGCCTTAATAGAATTACTATGGTGTGGTCAAACTATCGCTGGAGTTATTGGTTATATCTGATATCGTTCGATATTACTGAAATTTTACGGGGGCTTCTGTCTTCCATTTTCTTGAAATATTGAATTACATTAAGGTGATGGGGAGTATTTGTACCTGAGGATGAGGGCCCAAGCTGGATAGTTTACTCATGAAGCCTTTATTATCTTTCTTAATATTAGTGATATGAATCAGTTATTGATGTAGGTGTTTAGAATAACAATAAAAACTTCATTACTGAGTCTTTCAACTCAGAGAAAACACCTAAACAATGAAAAATAGTTTGTGTTTGATTTTTTATACGCCTATTGTGTGTGTATAAACCATATACCAGATTAGTTTTGAGTTTCTAATCTCGAAATCTACCAGTCATTATTGTTTAATGCACAGTGAATAAACAGTGATACTAATTAATTATGTGTTATGGTCTTTTTTGACCATTCATGTGTTTTTATTCGTCTCGGTGATTGTCAAACAAAACTTGGTGGAAGGTAGCTAAGTTGCGGCAGTTTCTTTTAATAGATTTCTGCAGTAGTTCCTCGCTTTACAAGTATAAGTAGTAAGCGATTCCGACATAACAATTTCTCTTTGTTGTTTTGAATAATATTGTATTCCATTCAATTGGTTATTACGATTTTCCTCTTTGACCTTCCTAAAATTACCCACTTGTTGAATTCGAACATCTTAGGTATTGCTGGTTGCATCTCTAGAACTGTAACGGCGCCTTTGGACCGCATTAAATTAACATGGCAAGCACTTGGAAGTAAGGCTTCCGAAGTAGGTTTATTGGGAACAGTCAATAAAATGGTTAAAGAAGGTGGGGTAACAGCATTATGGCGTGGAAATGGTGTTAACTGTTTAAAGATTGCTCCAGAATCAGCAATTAAATTTCAGGCTTATGAAGTTTACAAGTGCTGGCTAAATGAATCATTTGGTAGTAATCCAGATGGAAGTCTTCAACTACATACTAAATTCTTAGCCGGTTCATTGGCTGGTGCAACTTCCCAAAGTATTATATATCCTATGGAGGTATGTATTTTCTGCCTCCAGTTATAAATCATAACTGTATGCATTGTCATGTTGCCAAATCATTCTATAAACTTTACTATCTTGCTTTGGTAGCATATTTTCAAATGGAATGGGAATGTTTATTTGCTGACATCTTTGAGGATTACACAGGTGATCAATATATGTTGCGAAAGTAATATATTTCCGAAAGTGTTCGGTAAATTTATGTAAAGGATGTCTTTGCATATGGAGATTTGCCTATCCCAGTTCAGTTATTTTAAGCTAATATGGAAGCGGGTGATTTTTTGCCCATATTTCCTGATTTTAAAGTTTTGTTTCACTGGCTCTTTATGAATAACCAAACTCTGTTACTGACATTTAGTCTTTAAAATTATACAAAGTTATACAGTCCAACTGATGTTCAAACTAAGTACGTATTCATCGGAAGTATCATTTGCATACAAATTATAAAATATATACAAGTGTTTTATGGTATTGTGTGATTTGTTTTTCGACCTTTATTTTATGATACATCCAAAATAAAAAACCCAAGACAAGTGGTTATTTATCGCTAACCAAAGCTTTAGTTCAAAAAATTTTGTGTAAGATAAGGTTTCATTAGAAGATACAGTCTTATAGTCGGTAACAACTGGCGAATCTCCGTTTAATGTTAATCTTCTATTATTCGTATCTATTGAATATTTTTAAATTGATACTGAAAACTTAGTGGTTTATACACAGTCATCGGATTCATTTCATTGATCCCTCCTATTGCTATTCACTACAAGCGATATGTGAGTAAAAATTGTTGACTGAGAATATTCAGCACAAGAATACCAGTCCTTATGTACGCTTTCCTTTTTTATTCATAGTTCACATTTTTTGTCTTTCATTGACCAGTTACATTACCTTAAATCATTTTTCATGTTATACGTTAGATATTACTTATCAAAAGCTACGCTATTAAGGTATAACTGATTTATACTATAAAACTAGAAGCGTAGGAAGCAGTAAAATTATCTGGGTACACAACGTTTTACAATGACGATAATAATGTCTACACCTTAATGGGTTGGTACGTTTATTGTACACATTTTATCGAGTCGCGTTTGTTTTCCACTTCAATATTGCTAACCGCAACGATTAAGCTGATTTTCCATATGATAATCAATTCTTACTGTCAAAAGTGAGTATACGTGATACAATCAGGTTTCAAACTAATTAACACAGAAAAGAAGAGTGTTTATTATTATTATTGATGCAGATTTTGTGATATTATATCACTCTTACCTGTCTTTTATATTTTAACCTTAATGATTCTACAGTCCTGATGTCTTTCACTGTATAAATTGCTATTCTTACTTTGCCTTGACAATATTGTTTATATTTAGTCTGATAACGGGGGCTCTCTCTCCATACATCAAAACACTAAAAAGGGTATAGCTGACAAGCTTCATCTCATATGAATGGGTGTTTGTTAATATTACGAGTCTACGTTTAGCCTGTTGATATCTTACTAGAATTACCACTGTTTGTTTCTGTCCTTAGGTACTGAAAACACGAATGTGCTTGCGCAAAAGTGGACAGTACTCGTCAATATTTGACTGTGCTCGAAAGTTATATCACAGTAGTGGTATTACTATATTCTATCGTGGCTATGTGCCTAATATACTGGGTATTCTGCCGTATGCTGGAGTAGAATTGGCTATGTTTGAAACATTTAAACAATCATATTCTAAAGCATTTTTATCAAAGGATGAGAAGTCGCAAAATATACCTCCACCAGTCTATGTTTCTGTTGTAGCCGGTGCTCTTTCATCATTATGTGGTCAGTTAGGCACGTATCCATTGGCGTTAGTTCGGACAAAACTTCAGGCACAGGCATCTTCAGAAAAAGTTAGTTCACAATTTATTTTACGATTATTTCCTGTTTTCGGTCAATGTTTATTGACTTGGTTTCTAACTAGTTGAACTATGCTTTATAGCGTGTCGTAATGACTTTTTGGAATCTTCTCCAATGATTTAAATAACTATCACTTTCAATATATCTCTCTATGACTTTTTCTCTTTTAACTTTCTAAACGGATAGATCGACAAATGGTATGAATACGAAGCAGACAATTGTTACAAGTATTACACAGGTCGTTTGTTTCGGATGAGATCTCTGTTCAAATGTAGAATTCGTAGTTCTTTCCATTAATGTACTTTCCTAGTGAAAGCGTAATCTCAAGCTTTTGCTTAGGGAAATGGCATAAAATGTGATCATGCTTCTCGTGTGTTTGTATCGAAGTGGATTATATTTTTATGTGATGAAAGGTCGTTAGTACTTAAATCAACATTTTCAGCTTTGTTCTATGGAGTAACATACTTATCACACTTTACAAAACGTCAAAACTATTCTAATTTTTTAAAACCTTGTGGTTGAAGAACATTTTCGAGTCAGTTTTTGCAATCATTCACCAAGTTTTCATTGTAAAATTGATCTCATTCAATGAAATGCTTAAGATGCACTACTGAACACCCAGATTATACTTATCATTATTCAAACCATAAGGCGGAATTCAGGTTTCCTTTATTGTTAAGTTGCCAAGTTAAATCTTGGTAAACTCAACGCTAAAATAAATACCATCTGGTAGTTATTTTTAGGGAATCAATTTTTTAGATTTTTAGTTTAGTAAACCTTAGTGTCTCGTAAGTAAACAAATACCTACCAGTCACAGATAGCAAAATCCGATCTAAGGCCTCCTCATGATTCTACAGGGTAGTAGGAGCAACCTTGCTAGCTAACTTGGTTAGCCGGTAGAGATTAAACTAATCCATTACTCTACTGTAGGTCAGATTCAGTGGGTCCCATCTTTTGGGGGTCCCAAGGCATCTTGCGGGCTACCAGATTTGTATGCATATGTATATGAGTTGCATGAGACTACCTGTGTGGTATATGTTTACAGGTATATGCAAAGGGTACGCGCGTGCGTTAGCACAAGTAATTTAAGCCCAAGGATTCCTTTTCTATGTTTAATAAGATCAGTGGCCCAGTCCTTCAGATTGTGGACAATAAAAAATATGGTAGCAAATACTAAGAAAAGGTGACCATCAACCTTCCCTGAAAGAGTGCTTATGCTGATGTGTATATCATAACGGCTTAACCAACCTTAACACGGCTGGAACACTGTACTAGCCAAATTACGCAACGTGATTTGTGCATTAGGCACTGGGTTTTTGAAAGCACTTACATGTTTATCTTTAAATTAATTACATTTACCGTTTAAATTTATTCATTGGCATTTATTTACTGAAGCACCAGATGGAAAATTCGTTAGAATGCAATACCCTCCCAACTTACTATCTATAGATGCCCAGTGATAATCTTCTCATCTTACTATATCATTTTCCACAAAGTACTGTTAAGAAATATAGTAATACTACTTGTTACGAGTTATACCTTGCTATTTAGATATATTATTCTGTGATTCTTTTGTGACTTTGAAGTAGTTATTGCAATAAAACAACAAGTTAGTTCGACAGATATGTGGAGTATGTCAGTCAATAGTTTTCAGTCTCACTATAAACATATAAGACACTGTTTCAAGATTTTTAAATGCGTCTTAAGGCTTTGTGTACAAATTTGTCTTCAGGATAATTCTAATAAAAATAAAATAGAATATCTTGAATAGCATATGACTTCGTTTCTTACCTACTATGCACTTATTATTATTTCTTTTTCTATAGACTGGATTATTAAAAATTGTCAAAAATATTGTGGAACATGAAGGCATACCAGGTTTATTTAGAGGATTAGGGCCAAATATTCTTAAAGTTCTACCGGCTGTTAGTGTTTCGTATGCATGTTACGATCAAATTAAAGCATTTCTACAAGTTTCAAAATAGATCTCTATACCATTTTACTTGTCTAAATGTTAGATCCTGACCATTTTAAAAATCACGTTTGTATTCTATCTATAAAATACATTCGGATTTCCGAAAACTTATTTATGTTCACTGTTTAATTACTGGATGCAAATACTCTTATTTTTTGTTGTTATTTAATTAATCGCTTTATATTTTATCAGAAGATAAATGTCAATTAATTGTAATGAAGCATATTTTGTTTTTGAATGATATATAGCTTATTTTCTTTTAATGTGATGTTATTGTTTCAACATTGAAATTTGAAATGTGATTTGTATCCTATTTTAGTCCATGATTATCATCATCTTTCTGAATGTTTTTATTTTCATCAGCAATAAGAAATGGATATATTTTATATGCACATATATATTAGTTTTCTGGTACTTAGACATTTGCTAACTTTTTTCTACAATGTCTTACTTTTCCTTTTTTTCCGCTAACATTCATCATTTATTTCTCTAATCGATTTTCAACATATCGCATACATCTTTAAGATCTCTCTTGTCAGCATAATGGATTATTTTGTCTAAAATGTTTATTTTTGTTGTTGCTTAAATTCGTATTTTGAATACACTTTTTATAATCTTCCTTACTTTATATATCGTTCTGTATAAATCAATTAGTTATTTGATTTTTACAGTTTTGGAATGGAATTGAAGGACTAAATTAAAATAAATTCTCGTTTTCATATGATTACCTGAACAGTTTTTCTAATAAGTCATCATTCAAAGATGTTATCTCATCACTGCTTTTATTTACTTATCGTTCTGTAGCCACAGTGACTTTTGGTTTAAAACTCAGCTTCCGACCATTGGGTCGGCATTTCAACATCCCCAACTGGTCAGCATCATTAGCCGTCAAACAATGTATAGTTTGAAGGCAAGTACATAAACTAGTTAGTTTCATATGTGGATTTCTTCATTCACACAGAATTGTGTATTAATAATAATTATTCATATTACTCGAATATTGTATCTACTTCATTATTGGGATAAACAACTGAAACAATTCTAAATTTCATTTGGTAATAGTATAATCTAACTCTCTCAGACGGTAGTCAAATCCCGAAATTTTAACTAACGTAAAATGTTCATTAATTTGATGAAAGTTGGTCCTATGTTGTTTAATTAATTGATGTATGTACAGGTTCTCAGTAGTACAACTATTGATACTAATGAACTAAAATTTTATAAGTAGGATGGAATATTCAATTTCTATTACAATAGCTAACACTATTGCAGCTTAAACTTAATTTACTTCGATTTTGTGTTGGTCTCTCGAATTTTCTCATTGATATTTAGGACTGCAATTAACCAGTCTCCTATTGGTATATAAAGATCCCATGCGGATTGTCTCGATATCGCTTTAAGTCATAAGCATTATAAGTTGAGATGATGGTGGCTAGCAATGGAATCCAGGATGCACGTTTCGTCTTATTCGGGACTCGTCAGCTGGACGTACTTGTATCGCAGAGTTCATATTCACTCCAGGACTGAAGGGAATATCGAGGCAATCTGCACAGTATGCACATATGCCAATAAGAGACTGATCAATCGCAGTCCCAAACACCAGTGGAAAGATTCGAGCAACCAATACAAAATTGAATTAAAATTTACCCTATTGCACAAGCTAGTGGATAACTGGACTCAGTAGCTAAGTGGATAACGCGATGGTGTTTGAAGTGGACGGTGCTGGGTTCGAGTCTCGGAGTGTATATCAACTCTGTGATGCAGACACATCCGGTTGGCGAGCCCTAAATGGGACGAAACATGCGTCCTGGATTTCACTGCTAGCCACCATCATCTCAGTTTAATTTATTTCTGTTTCAACCACGATATCCTCCAAAAAATGTATTCCTTTCTAATAGTTTGAAGAAATCAAGAACAAACTATACATTACTAAATGTTCTCTTCTTATTTTACACCTATGAACATTTATTTTTGAAGGGTTAAAACAGTTTCGTATGACGAACTTGTACCACGCTATGTAAACAAACGTTTTTAGAAATACAAGAGAACAAAGTAAAATGACAATTCAAAATTTGAACTAAAATAGTGAATCCCAAATAGTTGAACCAGTAAATATAGTTCAAAGTTGTTAATTGAAGCTGTTAATGTAACATCAGAGAGAAGTCAATAGTTTACTGACTCAGCAGATGAACATGAATCAGAGATAAAGATGATTAAGTCAGTCTTTAAAGATAACCTTTCAAGATTATTTCCTTGATGGTTTATCAAATGAACAGTTTATAGCTTTTCCATTATCAGATATCTTCATACTGAATCGTTCATTTCAAGGCCTATTTAGTCACCGACTTGTTTTCATTCCACTATTCATACTACTGACCCCCTTTTCAGCGACGTCAAGCTTTTTCTTATTAAATACCTATCAGTCTTTTCTGTATTCCTGTGGATTTAATAAATTTATCAGTCAAGTATTTGTTTCTTACTAACTAGTGCCAAGCGAGGGGATAAAAGGTTGCTATTTGTTTCTATTCTAAAAACTTGGTATTTTTTTGAATGCTCGGGATGTATTACTTTCACAATTGAAATAAAATCAAATAATTACTGTGGAAATGGAAGGTTGATTACATTTTGCAAAATAGGTTTCGTGAAATCTGGCTACTTCAAAAATTGCTCTAAATGTTTTGAAGGTGTTGACTTTATACTCCGTATTCAAGACTGTATGTTAAGTGGATTACATGTAGATTTATGATCATGCCATATTTTATGTTCTTTTTGCTTCAGTTACATATATATATAACTACGGTGAATAGTTGTCTAATGAGTGACAATCGATGTCTAACTTTTTCACTCAACGGTTCATAGAACTATCTAAAATCCATGTACTTTTGTATGGGTAGACGGTTTTTTAAAATTTAAATCACGAGCCGATGAAAGTTAGGCGAACATAGGAAAAGTAGAAGCACTAGATGGCAGTTTCGTCCTGGTATGGGACTCAGTGGTGCGCACCCACGACTCTAAAAGCAGGAATTGAACCAGTCATCCTTGTGAGGCTGATTATGAATACAGTGATCTTGAGTGCTGTTAGAGGTATGAGGGCGGTCATCACTTCCCGGTTGCCCACACCGTGGAAGGGTTCTTCTGGAGGTGCCTGAAAAGGAAATTGGATTAGAGGTGGTCTTAATGACCTGAGAGCGTGACCGCAGTGCCCAAGGAACAGCTGCTTGAGGTCGGTCACACACGACCTTTTTATGGGTAATTTTTGTGTTAGCTCCGTACTTGTTGAGACCTTACCGCCGGAGACGGATATCCGTGGGATAAGGCGAGGTGTTCATTTTTAGGGTCGACCTTTTCTAAACCCACCCCTCCTTGTGGGAAGGCAGCATCGCTGTCATGCTGGCTGTCTCAAGGAAACAACTTACTGCCGTCACACCTCTGTACAGTCAGCAGTACGACTTCGCCTTCGGACCTTAGGTTTGTTGCCTTTAGTCTTACCGCTCTTCAACCGACCTGTCTGACATGGTAGGACCTTGAGGAATGGTCGTTTCAGCCAGTATAGTTCGGTTGCTTCATCACGACAGGCAAGCCCGACCACTACGTCAAGGTAGCAACAACGTTCGAACCAGTCATTCTATCTCTAACGCGAACACTCAACATCCACTGAGCCGAGATCCATAGGTATACAAGTCTAACTTTGATTGGCCCAAGACAGTTCACGACCATCCTTCATTGTCTTCGGTGAGTAACCGGCTCACATAACACGGTTTAGCCCCACTGGTCATGACGATTCGTAATACTTACGGTGGGTCTTTTTGTTTTCATTTGACCCACGCCTAGTTTATTATTTCTCAGAAACTATAGGTCATAAGTAGTTAGTTAAGAACTGTGAGAAACAATAAGATCAATTTAAGTAGTCATGGTTCAAGACAAAAAGGTAAACAAACCAAAAATATAACCCATTAGAATAACAACCAAACTAGAATTTAAGAAACAGGGCAGAGAAAAATTGACGACAGAAATATAGGGTAGAAAGATTGTATTTCCATAAAGGCACAATATGGACCCATTTACACTGTACTAATATGTCTTCAGTTTTTTGTCTATCAACTCATTTTAGTTTCCTTATGAACTTCGATTTGGAAATGTAGATAACGTAAATTAAAATCACGAATTTCATAAATTTATTCTATTTTAATGTGATCACATTCACGCTTCTCCCGTTTCACTTTTGATTCTAGACACGTAAGTAGTTGGATTGTTGATCTTCTAAACAGGAAACTAACATTTCCTCTCAGACGGTTTCGCTGTGTAGGTGTAGATATTTAGTGGTATGGTTGTCCCACAGTCCGTAACTACTGTATTTTCCGCATAAGGTAACTATGTTTATGAGTCTACGAAAAAGTAATGTTCTCCAAATATAAATTCAGTTAATTAGTTAATTTACATAATTCAAAGGAATTCGCAGGAACATCTGGGAAGTGAAGTGTCACGTCACACTTCTGATTGGTACTCACTTATACTGCTACTATATTCAAATTGTTGCAGAAAATTCTAGGAGCCCAAATTCATCTGAAATATTATAAATACCCTCGATTTTCTTCACATAAAAGAACCTTGGTGTAAAGCGATCTTTTTACACTTTACCCCTTTTTTCTTGTGTTCAAGTCTCCGTGTAGATTTGACCTGAGGTAATTAGAAGCGCTTAGAAAACTGATTCAAGCGTTCAGTTGGAAGACTTGTCGTTTATACATTGTGATGTTTCCTCTCAGTCTCTAGTACTGTATCCATCTAAATGAGGATGGAGTTTAGTAAAACTATAACTTACGCCTGATAACCATCGTGGAGGAATGCAGACCTCCCCCCAGGATTCTCCGTCGAACTCTTTCCTGGGCTCTCCTATGCAGTTGCTATTGATTCTTTTGATTTCGCCTTCCAGTTTCGGATTCAACGTTTTAGTGGCCAATCATTTTGTCGCCAATTAGATTGGACGACGACGTTATCGATTGGCTCACCACTTTACTGGCCCTTGTATCTGACTCCAGTTAGATCGTTTCTGGTTGTGATCGAAATACACATGCCGTCGTACATAATTATCTACTTGAATTGCGTTAGTGAATGACGGAATTTAGTAAGTCAAATACGAGGATGGATTTCGAGTAAGTACATTCCATATAACCATTGACACAAACAGACGATCAACGAAACGAAGAGGAGAGAGCGAAGCGAGACGAAATGACGCGCGGTGGAGAAGGCGTGTTAGTCAACTCGATTTACCCAAGCGTGACTCAATATTTATAGTCAGGCCAAAAATAAGTTACAGACACATAACAAACAGGGTAAGTAATTAACAGGCATACGATCACAGAAAAACAGTCAGGGTTATTAAGCGAATAAGTATTAGGGTAAAAATGTGGCTTGAGAAGAATTAATAGACCGGTGCGTCCAGAGGCTAGAGTAACCTATTTCAGCTTGATATAGTACTAGCTCCTTGGTCTTCCTCTTTTCCGTTTCCCTTCGAAATTCGCAGTAAGGGCTTGCCTTGTGAAGAGGTCTGACGATTTTTGTAATATACACCCACCCCACTTCCAACGTCGTTTCCTAACTTCCTCTTGAGCTGGAAGCCGGTTTGTCCTCTCCACAGTAGGCTGATGCTGATGGTATCCGACCAACGGATATTTAGTATCTTACGTAAACAAAGTTTGTAAATATTTGTACTTTATGGTGATGCTTGTAGTGGTTCTCCACGTTTCAGCTCCGTACATAGTACTTTTGACGCTCGTATTGAAGATTCTGACTTTAACATTTGTTGACAATTGTTTTGAGTTCCATGTGTACTTCAATTGTGGGAACGCTGCCTGTTAGGGAAGAACTGAATACATTTGGCTGATTACAACCTTTATATTGTATATTAATACTTTTACTGTTTTTCGGATGTATTTGTTTTACTCAACTCCTGAAATCGTTTGTTTATATCATTATTTTTGGACATTTTGGTTTATTTTGTCTTTGGTTTGGTATTTGAGAGTTTTTGCTCCGGGAACCTACAAAATTGAAGGTTTGTTTTGTAATTATTACAATCATTGTTTTTAGAACGACATTTGGGTCGATTATTTGTAAATTACGAATAAACTTTGGTACCTACATTGGGGTTTGGTTCTATTGTTAATTTGGGTTCGTAAATTGCAAATAGATCGATATACCGTACTTCAATAACGGGAAAGAGCAAAAACTTGTACGTCAAACTGCCCTTGCCTTTACAATCTTCGCTTTTACGTCTGCATCAGATCCTCCTTATTCATCAATGATGCTGATCAGGTACGTGAAAGTTTCCACCTCTTCTAAGGCTCCTGCATCAAGTGTGATTGGGTTGGCGTTCTCCGTGTTGCATTTGAGGATCTTTCTTTTTCCTTGTGTATGTTGAGGCCCATTGTTTCAGAGGCTTCTGTCAAGCTGCTTATCTTCACCTGCATTGGTTGGTGTGCATAGGATAGAAGGGCCTGGTCATCTGCGAAGCCCAAATAGTCTGGCCGCATCCAAGTTGTCCATAGTTTTCTGTGCTCCCCTTTAGATGTTGAGGTCTTCATAATCCAGTCAAGCACCAGATGACGTGTCCTTCTTTCCAGTCTGTCGGCACCTGTTCTTCCTCTCAAATCTTCCTGAATAGGAGATGGAGTATCTTTGCAGGTACCTCTATGTTTGACTTTGGAGCTTCGGCTGGTACGTTGTCTGGTCCAATTCTGCTTTCCCACTCTTGATTTCCCTGATTTCTTCGATCGTTGATAGAGTGACATAAATAGTAAGGTCTGTAGGTGCTTATTCGATATCCGGCGGGTTCAGTGAAGCTGGAGTATCCAAGAGTTCTTCAAAAGGTTCCTCCTAGCTGTTCCTCTGTACTTGAATCGCAGTGATTGGATTTCCCCCCTTGTTCCTGACCGTTCTCTCTGGTTTATTATATTTCCATGCTAATTTCTTCGTTTTATCATAGATTCGTCTCATATTTCCTTCTGTTGCAGCGTTTTCATCTGTTATTACTAGGTTGTCTACGTATTTCTGCTTGTCAGCTCTAATGCTCTTCTTTACTTGCTCATTTGCATCTGCGTATTTGGTCAATGATTTGGCTTTTTCTGCAGTTGTTCGGCTACCTGTGGTCCAGCAATTCCTGATACGTTGGAATTATTGTCTCCAGTCGCTTCTCACATTTCCTCCATAGTGGTTTCCTCTTCTTTGAACAGAACTCTTAAGGCTAGGAACCTGTTGCCACAAGCTATCTTGAATTCGTTGTGTTTGTCAGTATTTCAAAGGAAGGCTGTATTAAACCATTGTAATGCTGTTTCTCCAGTAGTTTAATGCGTTTTTTAGTTTCAGTTCCATCTTGGCCACAAACAGGCGGTAATCTGAAGCTATGTCAATTCCTCTCCTGGTTCTCACGTCTTTCATTGACCTTCTGAAAGTTTTACTGGTGCAAATATGATTTATCTTGTTCTCCGTGGTGTGGTCCGGTGAGATCTATGTAGCTTTATGTATGCGTTTGAGTGGAAATATTGTGCTGTCTATAACCAATTTATTGAATGCACATAAATTTGCAAATCTCTCCCCATTTTCGTTCCTTTCTCCTACTCCATGTCGTCCCGTGACATCTTCATATCCGATGTTGTCCATTTCGATTTTGGCGTTTAGGTCTCTCATCAGGATTGTCAGGTCCTTTGTTGGACTGATGCCCCTCATAAGACAGATCTTTATCGTCTTCACTGCTATCATTCATGGATGCACAGCACTGAATAATCCAATGTGAACACTTCTTTATTTCGAAGGATGCTTTGATGATTCTGGATCTATGAGATTTTCATCCTATAAGTGATTTTCGAACTTCTTTGGACAGCATCAGCAACTCTGAGTGTGCGGAGCATTTCCTTGTTCATGACTAGAATACAACAGGACCTCTCTCGAATCTAATTTTTTCTGTCCAGAATGCATCCAATAGGTTTCGGTTATCCCGAGAACTGCCAAGCTGTATCTCTCTATTTCCGTAGCCACTAGATTGGTATTCCCGGTCTCCTACATTGCCCGGATATTTCGCATGAAGTGATGGTCTTCTAATCTTGAATATGACAGTAAGAGTATCATAATTGAGCTGTTTCTGAATAAGGAATTACAATCTAATCTGAGTAACAATTTTCATTTATTGTTTTATCTGTATACTTCCTAACGTCTTCATAATATCTTTTTAGCAAGGTTGTTTTCTATGGGATGTGGTTGCTGATTCCATGCCCAAGCTTACTCCTTTTATCGGGCTTGGGACCGGTAATAACCCTAGAAGAGCTACAGGCAGATTTAGGACTATAAACCTTGAACTAAAACAACTTTCTATTAATTTAAGATTCTAAATTCAAAAGATTTGCGAAAATTGCAGAGACTGGAATTCAGAAACCAAATTATTTTGTAATAATAAAAAAATCAGCATATATTAACGGTTTTGAGAGATGGATATGCTCTTTTCAATAATACAGCATTGAATGAAACCATTGGTCACAATTATTCAGGGTGGAAACATTACCAGAATTTATGAAATTTATCTTACTCAAAATATGTTTACTTCGAATAAAAAATCAAATGATCCAACTTATATATAATTTTGTATTTTCACATAACGAATTTGTTTTGGATAGATAACCATTGAAAAACTAATGATCATCACAGGGTTATTTTGTCGGCACATTGGACTGCTCAGCAGTTCATATACACGACTCCATTGTTGAGAAAATTCAAAACTTTAAGTAAGCGTTTAACTTTCAAGTCACAGAGTTGACATCCAATAGTCTGCATTAATAACCACAATCAAAAAGAAATCCTATGAAGTAATCTAGTTTTTTCTTCTATTAAAAAACATTTCATTGTAAATCAATTATCAATACTAATAAAATAATTATTACTTTCATCTGTTTTGTTACAAAATATGTTTGTTTTTGTTTTCTTTTTCATTATAATTATTATTTCTATTGACTGATAGGCAAAGAATTAGACAGCAGATTAACACTTTCAATTAATGTACATTTTGATTTTACAAATTCAATTAAAAAATGCATTATTCTAAAAGCTAATTGCAATAAATCATCGAATCTTGTATGATAACATCTAAATTGTTCATTGAATTTCTTCGTATTTGTTGTAATGTTTAAAGATTTCGATTGTTTTTGACATAACCAATTTAAAACACGTTGTATTAGTAAATGTTCCATTTGTTCAGATAAAGGTTGAAGATAAGTTATTAGTTTGGCAAATAAACTCATTAAACAAACGACTGGCTAAAAAAAAATTTTAAAGAAAATAAGTTTGTCAGTGATGCAAGTAATCTAATATATCATTCAATATCAACAGTTGAAATCATGAATCAATTGAAGCTAGACCACCATGGAAAACCTGAAAGCACTGGACGGCCGTCTCGTCCTAGTATGGGAGTTCTCAGCAGTGCGCATCCACGACTACGCCCGTCGCGAGATTCGAACCCAGGACCTGCTGGTTCCGCGCGCGAGCGCTTGACCACTAGACCACTTAAGAGGCATCCAACTATGTTAATGTCTAACTTTAATTAATCCACGAAATCGCGTGGCACATGCACTATTGTCTTCAGTGAGCTGATATCTCACAACAGACCTGGTTGAACTCCACTAGTTACGGCTTCTCACTAGAACTCCAGGAAATGTCTCTTGAAGTCAGTCACTGGTAGGCAGATGATTATTATCAGAAGAGGTTTTGCGGAGATGTTATTAATTTCAATAGTCGAAATCATGATTCGACTGAAGCTAGACCATCATGGAAAACCTAGAAGCACTGGACAGCAACGGTGTGCGGTGGCGCAACTTTGTGGATTAGTTGAAGTTAAACATTAGCACCGTTGGATGCCGAATGGCTCAGTGGTCTAGTCGTTAAGCGCTCGCGCGCGAGACTGATATGTCTTGGGTTTGAGTTTCGCGGGGCTAGGATCGTGGATGCGTACCGCTAAGGAGTCTCGTACTAGGACGAAACGGCCGTGCACTGCTTTCAGGTTTTTCATTGTGTTCTAGCTTTATTTGACTCATGATCTCAACTACTGAAATTACTAAAATCTCCACAAAACCCCTTCCGATATAATTCAGTACTTTAGTTTATATTTAAAAGATAAACACTTTAGAAGGTAAAATAAATAGCACACACAACTCATTAATCATTGGATTTTTTTGTTGCTCGGAATTAATTAACAGTCTGATCATCATCTAAGTATTTTTATAAGGAATTAACTTGATATATACACATTCGGATATACTTTTATTAACGAACAAGGTTTTCTGATCTCACTTTGAATGGAATTAGTTGATTTGTAAAAATTATCAACATACTGTCGAATTAAAAACTGAGAGGAATCTAATTAACAACAATATTATTCGTTTGTATATTTTATTATACATTACGCAATGAGAACTTTCTTGATATTTTATAATCGAGCAAAAGTCAGTTATGAAAATGGCAAAGGATGATGTGATGTCACAATTGCAAAGTTCTTTTAGTCAATCAGTCATAATCAACTCAGAGCTTGGCATAAATGTATGCTAACTCAAGTAGCCATACCACAATAACAAAATAAGATAAAATTATTAAGTGAGATAGCGAAAGAGTCAAAATAATGTAGTAGAAAAGGTAACGAAGAAGACAAAACACTGAGAATATGATTCAAAAATACAAAAAAAGATATGTATAAAGGAATGCTGGGACTCAAGATAAAGGGTAAATACAACTGAGTCGTTATGACCGATCATGAGTCATTTAATATCATTTGTCCTCAACCAGGTATTTTGCACCTAACAACTTGGCTCCGATCCACAGTCAGTGACTTCGTGAATTGATGACACATTTTGGTTCCGCTACCTCTAGCTTTCTTCCACCTAAGATTACCCATTTAGTAGGTGGACGATTAGGCATAAGTGAAGCCCGTTCTAGTCAACTCAGTTGACGCAATTCACAGTTCCACCAACCAATTATCTACCTTTTCTTAGTACCCTTTGCTTAACTTTATCAATAATCACTCTGAGAACCTAGTTGTTCAACCACTTACTCTAAATATGTTTGATAATTGTGGCATGAAGTTACGTTACTATCAGAATCTATTAGCTAGATACGCACACTTATATAGTTTTGTTGTTACATAGATCATTTTTGTAAGCACCTCAGTAGTCAACTTTGTTCTTCCTTTACTTAAATTTGTGAAAGCAGTCATCTGCCTGAAACATGCTGATTATGCAATCTAAGGTATTCCCACTTTTCTATTCCTTACTTAGTCAAACGTATGTTAAATAACTAATGGTGTTTCGTTGCCACAAACAAAATACTTATACAAATAACATACATACAAATACGTTACAAATTATCACTATCATTACCTTAATAATTTATGAAAAAAATTCCTGTGATACTGCTATCATGAGGCTTCTGTATACTTGGTATTTTAATGTTTTTCGCCCTAACTTGTATCACCTTTATTGTTACTTTTAAAAGTGCATGTTTGTTAAATCTATCCATTTATGTTAATTAGTTCGCCGTTAAATAACTTATTGAATTAGAGATACCATGACTGATCGTTTAGCTTCAAATGGATTAAAGTTAAAGCCGACTTTCATGAAAGCAGTCGCATTTAACGATTACAGTCTGTAAGTAGGCTATAGGTTGTGCACCACCCAAATGTAAATTACCCCTATGAAACTTGCCGACACATGCGCTTTCACCTATATTTTGTGTTGCATCGTCTGAAACGGCCGAGACTTTGGTGTATATGTGTAGCTGTACCACTGATGATATGGACAAGAGTAATTTACATACAGAGAAAATCAGAGCAACTTATGTCAACTTGAATTACCTTCCAGGTAGCTCTGGCTTTAATTTGTCCGTAAGATTTAACTCAGACCTACAAACCATGGTTTCATGGACCGATATTACATTTCAGTTTGGGCTACCTTGAATGTTTTCTTACCCACTTCTACACTAACAAAAATTTTGCCTCGAAGTAGGTAAGAGTTAGGTTTACGTAACACGTATCTCAACCACCTCATTCGACAGAAAATAAACTCGTCAATCAATCTGTTATACATACCTAGTATCTTGAGTCTAAACTCGGCACTGATCTATCAGTCGTTCCACAGTACATAGACAGTGATTCCAAAATTTCTAGCCAATACAGGACTTCTATTTTCATAGAGTATGTTACACAGCCATAATGTAATTGGAAACTTGCTTAGCAGATCGATCAATTCGCTAATGAGTTGCATGTTTAGATTAAACCACCCATTATCATGCAGTTCATCGAAGCGTTTATACAAAAAACCGAATAATCTCAATAATGCTGAGGAAAACTTATCTAATTTAGTCGTCATTTAGTCTTTAGAAACTTCTATTTATGCAGACTAATTCAATACTCATAATATAACTAAATATATTTCAATGTTCACGAGAGAGACAAAATGATAAGCTGTTTAACTCAATTTTAATTGTTAACAACACATATTCATTTCAAGTATACAAAGTAGTCGATATATTAGTCGCTTTATTAGGGACTCTTGTTTTAATAAACAGTTCATTCGTTCAGTGAACTTTACTCATACACTTACTCATATATTGACTTAATATGCAAAATTGATAATTCATATAAAATTGAGAGGTTCTATCTTACAGGCTTCATACAATAGATAGAAATGAAAATCAATCATATGAGGTTAGTACTACATGATACATCTACACATTTTGCTCCAGTCGATTTAGATACCGGCAGTTGGGTTACGCAATTCCTAGATGTCCACAGAAGTAAAATCCATAAAACCTTTATGTATAATAAGTTGATTAGTCGTGTAAATCATAGCTTATTTTCATCCGAAAGGTAAACTGATCATGTTCTCGTAGCTCTAATTACGCTAAATAAATAACTAATCCGTAAAACTGAACTACTAACCATATCAGATGTTGAAACTAGGAATTACATTTTTCTAATTGATAATGTTCTCACAGAAAAGATTAAAACATTTTTATTCACGTGGAAATTAATTATTATTTTCCAAAGGAACAGTACAGGCTTAATCATGGAATTTTATCTGTTATATCAAATAAATTTCGAATAAAAAGCTAAGACTAACTTCAGTTTATTGGCTCTTAAATGTTCAACATAAAATTGATCTTAGAAAGCTAATAGAATATTCAATCATTCAAATAACAGGGAACATGGTGAAGTAATTCACACTAAAGAATCAGTCGTAATTAGTTGAAAATAATATCAGTTATTTCAAATAAATAATTTGCATACTGATTACATTCAAAATTGTACAAGTAGTGAAAACATCACACTTAGATAAGATTGCTCATACTTAACTAAAAAACAGAATAATGCAATTAGTAAAGATTTGTTCATAATAATGAAAAACCATAAGATCACATTGCCAATTGACAGTTTATTTGATTTTACTTGACATATACCATTTAACTTCAACATGTTGACAAAATGACTAACTTCAAATTTTTGGGAAAACTCCACACAATTACAATGAACACTTAGTCAAATTTTAATACAACTTGAAAGCAGTTACGATTGTTGACTAACTGAGAATTGATATTATCATTTATTAATTTTTGATAGTGCGGTGAAGATTCCGTTACAATATTCAGAGAACACAAATAATCATCTCTCAAAACTGAAGTATAAATCTTAATAATTTTTCCGCAAAGAATTAATGCCATAATTTCCACAGTTGCATGAAACAGATTCCTAGTATCACCAAATCATAAACAGTTAATATATATTTTTCAAAATGTTTCACCGATGTATTCATTTGGTACTGTTTGTTTGAATCTTCCCATTGATGTTTAGGACTGCGGCTGATCAGTATCCTATTGGCACATGTGCATCCTGTACGGATTGCCTCGATATTACCTTCAGGTACAAGCAATATGAGGAAAGATGAATGGTGGCTAGCAGTGGAATCCAGAACGCTTGTTTTGTCATACTTGAAACTCGTCATCTGGATTTATCTGCATCCCAGAGTTGATGTTCATTTCAAGATGCAGCAACACCCAGCTGACGAGTCCCAAATAAGACGAAACGCACGTCCTGCATTCCATTGCTAGCTACCATCCATCTGTGCTTATAATCTTTGACCAATATTTCAAAAACTATGACGAATACTCAGACAAAAGCTTATACTTGTTAGAACACAAATCAATATAAAAATTACCCATGTAAATATGCTACACTCTAACTTACTTTCTCGAAAATCTCTAGAGAAGTTAATATATCTTCTTCAAATAAAGGATTTTGTTGTAAGCTGAGCAAGTCTTGCATTCGAAGCACTGGAGACTATAAAACATGTATATAAGTGTGTAATTCTTGACAGCTGATAACAAAACTTATCTAAGGGAATACTACTGACAATAATTACAAGTACATTTTTTGAGAAAAACAAATCATTTTAAGTTAATGATAAACATTTATCCAATATTTTAGTTAGTGGGGTCATACTATTTTGCATAAAATCGAGAAATTGTCGGTAAATACCAAAGTTGTAATGTTGTGTCAAAAACAATGACACTAATATGATGGAATAAAAAGTCAAACTTAGATTCTTAAACTCATTATGATTTCTGTCCAACATTACTCTCGTTTTAATTCAATGTGATGGTTACCCAGTGTAGTATTTGTTTTCATTTCCTGTGTGATATTTTATTTCATATAACATTGATTTGAGTGTGATGTTTGTTAAAGATACGATATTCTTGTATTAACTTAACATCAACTATGTTTAGCATGACAAGCATCATTTGATTTATTATAACTGTGGGTATTATCCATATATATGATTTCATTCTAATTAATAATCAAATTGGGTATACAGTCAATATAAAAATGAGTGTATTTTTGACTAGGATCGTCGTCGTGTTTTGCGTTTAATAGATCTTGTTTTGTACCAGTCTTTGTATTCTTACTTCGCGTCGTGGGAATTGCAGTGGTTCCTCGTTTTACAAGTAAAGTAATCGGCGATTCCAACATAACAATCAGCGATGATCAGTCATAACAAATTAACAATGAGATATAAAAGTCACAAAAACTGATAGAAACAGAAATATTTAAATAAGCTCAATCTGCATAAAATAGTTATGGAACTGCGGTTTAGTGGTTAAAGCATTCAGCTTTCAACCATCAGCTTGAAGGTTATGATAAAGGTTTAGCTAAGTTTGTTTGGTGATTCGATTCGAAACATATGGTTCTTATACAAATGGTGTAGCTCGAAAGTGAGTATATAAACTTTTGCTTGGTTGAATGAGTTACAATAATATTTACCAAGCAACTACTTTGTTGATTAGAATAGAAGAATCATGAATCATTAGTTATTATAATGTTGATCTAAATCCCACTTATTAAAACATTCAGATAAAAGTATGTGTTGGATCCGTTTTTAGCAAGTTCAGTATTTTTGTCATTAAAACAAGTATACATTTTAGCACATCATGGCAACCAACTACCATTTACACTGTTTTGTGTTTCACAATAGGTTTGAGAAACATTTTTATTCGGTTGTCAAATAACGTAAAATGATTATTAATTTATATTAGATTATCATCAAGTACGCTGTTAGGTTAGTTACATCGAAAATTGATTTTTCTTTCCATCATATCAATTTCATATAAGATATTGTGGTGGTTGATTGATGCTAACCAACAACAGTCGCTTCTCCAATGAACAATTCTCCAAATAAAAGGTACCTTGAAAGGATTTTGCTTAATCTATGGAATTAACTCACAACTAATGGATTGAACATGACACTAGTTTCTACTCGATGATCGATTAGTATTCAAGTTTCAATGCTTAAAGACATCAATTACAGCCCAAATCACCCAGCGATAACCATTCTCCATATTTAACGCTGGGTAACACGTATTGAAGTCCTACAAAGAATTTCAACCCCTCTAAGAATATAGACGTCCCTTGTTGGTGAGTTTCGACTAGCGTGGACCTTGGGTCTAAGGCACCTTTCTGGGTTTTTTAATGTTTAATAAACATCAAACAGAGAACCCTTAAGTGCTGATTCACTTAAACCAATCGTCACATTGAAAACTGTTCGATAGAATGTGGCCAACACTAAGAATTGAGTCGATTACTAGGTGATCGGTTAATACTTCTTTCTCACTAGATACAATATGTACTGTAGTTCACTGATATGACGGGAAGAAAAGTCAAAATTCGATTGATTTACTCATTATGGGTTTTGTTCAGCATTACTTCCGTTTTGGTTCAATGTGATGATTATTCAGTGTAGTATTAGGTTTTGTTTTCACATATGGTATTTTATTGTATAACATACGATATTCTTCTATTAAAAACTGACATGAACTATGCTCAGCATATGATTTGTTACAACTGTGAATGTTTTTTATATATGTGATTCCATCCTAATCAAAATGGGTCTACGAATCAATATATAAATGAGTGTATTTTTTTACTAGAGTAGTCGCCGTGTTTTGGGGGTCAATAAATCTTCACTTATACTAGTCTTGCGTTCTTACTTTCGCGTCGTGGGAATTGCAGAGGTCCGTTGTTTCGAGTATAAGTGATAAGCGTTTTCCGGCACAACAGTCAGTGACGGCCAGATATAACAAAGCATTCGAACGACAAGACATATCATTCACAAAGGCCAATTATGATAAATTAATAAAGCAATCAATGAATAATTCGGCTTTAATCACCAATTGCAAACAATAATGTCCTAACTGATAGAAATATGTTAGAAAAAGATATGATTTTTATCTCGGTCAGTTAATAATACTGGTATCAGTTTGCAAAGAACATATAAGTTCTCCACTAAAATAAACCATGCTAATGAGTGCTAACTAATACTAAAATAATTTCTAAAAGCTACCTACTAATTACTTCGAAACCTTCATCACTCAATGGTCATATTGTAGTTTGATGAAAGTAGAGTAATATAATTTAATTAGTTCCAATGTTAACAAAAAAATGATTGTGAAAAGTGAAATTTAAATATCATACAAACAAACTGATCTCATGTGTTTATGTTATGGGGCTAGTCAATTTACTGAAAAATAGTTATATTAAATTTAGACTATTAAATTCACTGTATCATATTCAAAACTCTTATTGACTAAGATGGATAAACTACTTAGATTGTGTAAATAAGCCTTATTTGATTGAAAGTAAAATTAGTTTCGCTTTAAAACACAGTCATATTTTCCGTTGATGTTTAGGACTAAAATTGATGTTTCTTTCGGCGTATGTGAATCTTGTGCGGATTACCTTAATGTACATATGCCAAAAGAGACCGATTAATCGCAGTCCTAGAAATTAATGGGAAGATTCAAGCAACCGATAAAAATGAGCTAAAATTCACCCCATTGTATGAATCAGTGGCTGTCTGTACCCAGTAGCTAAGTTGATAACGTGATGGCTTCCAAAAAATTGGCACTGGAATGAAGTCTCGGATTAAACATCAACTGTGGGATCTAAGTACATCCAGCTGAGTTCGAAATAAAACAAAATATGCGTCTTAGATTCCACTGCTAGACACCATCTATCTATCAACGCCAGACGTCCTGAAAAGTTTAGATATATACCCATTCATTATTAAATAATAACAGTCAATGTCACGATCAGGTCTGTAATGATGAATGAAATTTGTACATCAACCAATTTTTTTTAAAATATAAGCAGTATCATAATGCATTGCTATTTCCTATGAACGTGATTATATAAATCGTTTATAGTTTCTTTTTAAAAATGTTAGGTCATACCTTTAAATGTGTCAACCAATCATCTATCAGTTTTACCAGGACCAATGCATTGAATGAAGTTTTGTCAAAATCATCCCAGGCTTCAGGATCATTGTTGAATTTTTTCTGTCATGTAAAGTAAAGTGATCTGTCGTTAAAACTCTACGAAACAAGTCACAAACTTAAAATACGTACGCATAATAAAAAAAATAACTTTGTTGTATTCAGATGTATTTTAGATACTTTTTATTGACGTAATGACCATTTTCGGGGGCCAAAACGTGGGTTTTACGAGATCAATTGACATGCAGTCAGACAAGTTTGACTGTGCTGTTGAGAGTCATTTAACCATAATAACAAGAACAGATTGAAACAAAAGTGTAAGTTATTCAAAGGTGTTTTAAAATAAAGAGCGTATGTAACATAGCTGAATGTCTGTCTTCAATCCTTGAATAATCACAGCTCATTTTTGGTACATTACTTTCTAGCGACCATTAGATCAGTATTTATGTAAGCTAGTGGCACAAGTGCTGTTGTGGTGGAATACTAGAATCAGTCCTTTCAACATTACATCATTGAATGCAAGATATTCAGCAACTTTTCTAAATATTTCACACAGAATTACTTAGCTTGAACAACGAAGAAAATAAAGTACTGGTGAGAATATTTTGTGGAATCAATTAAAATAGTTTGGAGTTGTGTTATAATTTTCACTTATAAAGAAGTCTATTTAATGTATCCTAAAAAGCACGACGAACAGACACAATTATAAACTCAGGTATTCTTTCACCTATATTTCTTAGATATTTTAGTTGGTCATGTACTTTCCAAAATATGTACTTGTACGAAAGCTGCTTAATGTTAGATAGATTCAGGAAAATTTAAATAGTAATATTATTTGAGTAAACATATTTACTCAGATGTCTATCATTAATCAGGTTAATTTATTCAAAGTTGCAAAGCGTAAATTCCTCAAGAAAAAATTTATGCAAACCTTCAGTCTATACAAACGTAAACAAGTGTATGAACGTATTACCTAGTGCTGCCTCAAGGTCAGCACTTTGGGTTGTGTGTGCACACAAGAGGTTATAAAAATGATGTAACATAATGTCAGTCGATTTACTTTATTTCTCATCGATTAAAAATGTCATATTGGAATGAAGCGAAAAAATCACTAGACGATGGACATATACGTTATATATATATATATATATATATATATATATATATATATATATATATATATATATATATATATAAAGAGAGAGAGAGAGATTATTGAGATTTGAAGTTCGGATGATTTAAATGCAATTTCATCCTCCTCCTCGCAATTTATCCTGTCGACCTTTATCCTGATTGGTTATTGTTCACCTTTAACCTGTTATTTTACGCCTCGTTGTTTTGACTGTATCACCCCAGGTTAAGCTTGGTTCAATTGAGGTGAATAAGGCTGTTTTACATCGAAGGATATCATCAGTTCGTCGCTGTTAATCTGGAAGTTTATATAAGAATTCTATGTGAGATTTGATGAATCCACTAAATAGTTCAATATTTTTGAAATTTCTCTCGATAAATTGTATGTTGGTGTTCCTTGGAATAATACAATTAGACGAAGTGAGATGTTTAGTTTGTGTATTTTCTGTCTACCTAACAATCGAGGGAGTACTCGTCCATTGGATTTCATTATCGATTGATCTTATTTTGATATTTGTTCCGATTTGACAAGTTAGTTTAAAGTCCTTGAGATTTGGTTGTCTAAACTTTTGGTTAGATTTATGTACGCCTTTATCCCCAGTTAATAGAACTAGAGGAGATATCGTCGTAGTTCAAGCGGAAAAATGACGCACTACAGTTATTATAGACAAGTAAGAATATATCAGGATAGCTGAGAAACTAATTGAGGATGAAATCAACCAATCAGAAAATTCATGGACAAATATAAGATCAAGAATATCAAAAGGAGAAACAATCAAAATAAAGAGGCGTAAAATAACAAGTTGAACGTCAACAATAACCAGTCAGGATCAAGATCGACAGGATAAATTGCGAGTCATATGTAGAGAAACTCAAACACTTCACTTCTACCTGAAGTTTGTACTGACGATGTTTTTCAGAATAACAATCAAAGCTCCACGACCAAACCAACTAACTAAAAGAACAAAACTCCACCGATATATATATATATATATATATATTCACTAAACATTTACGAAGTATGTTTTACACAATATTGAAGTATCTCAGAGTATCTGATAACATCATATTATAATAATACTAAAGAGATGACAATATAATTTAGAAAATATTTGTTTAAATTGAATAAAAATGAACATACTTTCCAATATTCCGTTTCATTCACAACTGATTCAGGATATTGTGTAGTAAGCAGAGCTTCAATAACAGAGCTTGCACCAACAGACTGATTATCATCTACACTTTGATTTGGAGAATTTTTTCCTAGAAAGTAGAAGAAATTGTTAGAATTTTCAGAGATAAATAATCTTAAATATCTCAGTGTAGAAATGTTTCCTCAAGAAAATATACCATAATTATATGTCAATAAATAATGAAATTATTATAGAAAATCATGTATTTTTATTTAGTTCAATATTAATAATGAATTTGGAAAGAAATCAAAAACTTTGAAAACCTCTTGGGTGATTGTCTCATATGTTGTATTTATAAGGAGCTCGCAATCCTAACTAAGATAGTGTAGATATCCTAAATTATATTGCTAAATTTTGTTGTTCAATGTTTTATGGACGATGAATAAATCTCAGTAGGACCGTACTTTTATAAACTTAGTATTCTACTTACAATATAGTGATAATATGATCATATGACAAATTTATTTTTAAATACACAATATACTTTAATTCCAAGTCAGCCGAACAAGGAATACAGCGGAGTCATTAGGGTAAATGACACAAAGTAACAGTATGCTTTACTTACCGTTGTATATTCCTTTGCAGGTAAAATGTTGAATAATTTAGAAATAAGCATCACATTGTTAAATATATGTGAATTAAGTATTACAAATTACTATATCAAACATAGAGGAAGCAACATTACGAGTACATCTGTGATGGAGTCTCCAATACAAAAGCTTCAAGTGAAATAGATTGATTTTTAACTAAGTATTAGTTTTATAAAGATGGTAGCAACCAATAAAAATGAAAACACAAAGTTTCTGCTAACTGACTACAGATTATGCAAGCATAAACTTATAAATCAGTAATATAAAAGTGATTCATCTTAAGGTAATGGAAATAACTTTCGGAAAATAAAACCAATTAAAGATTATGTTTTTTTAATCATCTTTCCCTTATTCATAAACACAGTACTAATTCAGTTGATACCTGAAATATACACATATTTTTAAATTAAAACAAAGTTGTGTAAGATTGAAAACAGAATAATACTTGAATTTAAGTCAACACTTGTAGTATATATTATTTCCTGGTGCATTCAAGCATAAACTAATTTCAACTAAATTATCATTGAAAATTAAAAAAAAAACAAAGAATTGTTGAGTATTAACGTGGAACTTCTTAATAATTTTTACTTATGACTACACAAGGCACCGAACTCAGGTCTCTATAGAGTATCAAATGTAATGAATCTTATAAAAGTCAATCGACCTTACTAACATTCCGAAACGATAAGCATGTAAGCAGAATTTTAGACAGTTCAAACTATTATCGGAAACAAATAACTGATAGACACATTTCAAAATAAACTTTCAAGATTCAGCATATTATTTGTTGTTATCACTTAAAAGCCTTGAATCTTAGCGTTGTTGATGTTAGAGACTCAGATTGGTTAGTTTCTTTTTGGCATGTGATCATACCCAGCGGATTGCCTCGATAGTGCCACTATATTACAACAATTTTTAAGCAATTTTTTTTAAAGTGCCTGATAATGGAATCTAGGACGCATGGATCCCAGTGTTGATGCTTACGCTGAGACTTCAACACAGTACATTTCACTTCAGAAAACAAATACGTTATCCTCTTAGCCACTGCTTTTAGAAAGGATTTTGTTGGTAGAAAACTATCCATTATTACACCGGTTCAAAGAGAATTCCCATTGAAAATAAATTACACAATAAATTTACTTGTCATCATATCTTTTTGGAACAAAGCATACCATATGAATAATCTACAGTTGTACTCGTTAGTTCAGTCGTTTCATCTGGTTGGCAACTAGTAAAAGCTTCTGATTGTGTAACATTTGTTGTGGAAAGCCTATAAACAATCAATAGAATGATTATTTGTAAAGTATATTTAATAAAACATTTAAATATTATTTGAAAAATTCATAAATTTACAAGATACCCACACAAAGCATATTTAAGGACAATGATTAAGTAAATGATATGTTGGACTCAAAATCATAAGTAATTTCTATAATTTTTTTTCATCTCAAATACCTAATCCTGATTTATAGATGAATTAAAATTTTGATATGCGATAAAGATTACGTTTGACGATACAATTGAAAATTCCTGTATATAAGCTTTGTCAATTTGTAAAAAACATTGAGAATAGATAATGTACTCAAAATCATTAAGCTCAGAGATAAGGACTATCCTTGTTACCTAAAGTAAGCTCAAACTAGTTCAACTTAACTTGTTTTGTTACAAAACTCCATAAAAATTTCAATCCGCACCAAAAACACTCCACTATCATTTGGAAAATAAAAGTTAAATAACTGTTAAGTGTTCAATAATTGTTTATTTACTTAATACCTTCATGAATTAAATATTATTCATGTGCATAATCTATGGTTTTATCGGGATGTACCTTTTGTAACTCCACCTGGAGTCCCTCTGAGGCTACTACCGGTCCCGAATCCGGATGAAGGAGGGGGGTTTGGCATGGGGTTAGCGACCACATCTAGTAGAAAACTAACTCGCTAAGAAAACGTTAGCCTTTTTTAATGACAATGTGAAAGAAGAGTTTTAAAATATGCTTCCTAGTTAAGTAATAAACTGTGAAAAATAGTTGCAATTTGTCTAACCTTGTTATGGAAATATATATATATGGTGATAATTAATCTGCACACGTTAAAAGTAAGTAGTTTATTGAATAAGTGTACTGATTTTTTGGTATATTCAAGTCAGACTTGGAAGCTAATAAGCATACGATAGATTGATTAAATTGACAGAATAATTCAACTTATATCATCAAGGAGTGACTGTAGGAATTATTGTTTTGTTATTCATATAACCTATTAGAGTCATTCCTCTGACACAAAATATTTTACTCAATATTACAAGTTGGTTAGCATAAAACGTAACTCAGATAAAATGTAAGCAAATAAAGAGGATAAAAACACACGTTTCATGTGTAATTGCTAACAGCACAAATATCGACTTAGAGTAATCAGAGCATTGAAACAAAATAGAGAAAAGATCGGTTAATAAGTGAATACATAACTATAGTTCATCGAAATGTAAGTAATAAACTGGAGAACAATTACTTATAGGCTAAAATCCCTGATGATGACTATACGTTAAAGGATGGCGGATGCTGATGATTTTCTATCGTTCAGCCGTTTAGATGAATGGTTAAAGTATCCAAAATGTACATCATATTGTATACGGTCAAAATAACAAACTTTGGGCAACGGTCATTGTATTGAGTAATTTTGGTCCATCATATTTTTCTTTCTCAAAATTTATGAACAAACACTTACAAGTGGGAATGAGTTAGTACGTGTTTTTGTCTGAAAACTCAATAATCTATATGACTTAATAATTAAAACACTTCTCATTCAACTGATTCTATCAGCCTTTGTTCAGTTTATAACTAGTTAATGTAATAAATTGAACAGATCGAATATTGATTAAGATTTAATGTTGCTTAACCGTCTAGATATTTAGTTATTATGTTTAAGTACTTTTAAATCATCTGAATTATTGTTATTTTTCTAAAAAGTATGATTGATTCAATTCCTTCATGAAATTCTGTACTTTCATCATTAGTTAGTAAGTACTATGAAACTAAATATACAATCATAATAGGCTGTATAAAAACATCACTTTATATGAAACATAACGAATATAAAGAAATAATGATTTTAAAACATGATCAAATAATGCAATGATTTGTATAACTTTCGATAATGATTATAATAGATTATTCTGATACATTATTTGTTATGACAGAAGACTGTGTTTTATAGTCCGTTAATAGATTTCAATTAATGGGTTAAAAATGAATAAGTGGATTAAATTTTAAGGATCAAATGTAAATAATCAACTTTATATTTATTACAATTAATTAATTCAAAGCTTAAGACCTAAAACGAGAATTTTATCCATCCAATTAAATTTCTAAATAAATTTACGATTTCAATCCAGATGAAACATTTAAATACATAAAAACTTTGTCCTTTCAACTTTAGTGACATATTAATTTAATCATGTATTCAATATATCAGAAGGGGTTTTGTGGGGGTTTTAGTCATTTCAATAGTTGAAATTATTCAAAATATATACATATGCTCGAAGAAAGGTTATGAAGAGTTAAACAAAATGCCAATCATATGTTGAAAAATTTACCTGACCGTTCATTTTAAAATAAATTAGATCATATTCGAAATCATAAGGGAAAGAACAGGGTAGCCTTAGTTTATTTATCGTTCAAATTAATTCAATGGAAAAAGATGTAATATATATGATGTAAGCTGAACAAATTCACATAACAGAATAGAAAGCTTTTAAAATATTTCGGGAAAAAGTTTAAACAAAATAATGAGAACTCAATATTTTTGTCAGTAATATAATTTTAGATTTCATATAACATTTCACAATAATGAATCAGTCCAAATCATTTAAAGTTAAATATGATCAATTAAAAAGGTTATAAAGAAATAGAAAATTTTAACTAAACTATTAAACAATAAAGATTAAACAAAATGAGATTAAGTTTCATTATCATTGTGTATTTACAAATTGTCGGGGAATTTGTCAGTGATTGATTTTTTAGCTTCTTAGTACATGGAAAACTATTTTCTTCAGTTATTTTGGCTAGTTAATCTATAATACTTATGTGAACAGTATTCCCAGGTAAGAAGTAATTAAATTACGACTGTAAGAAACATTTAGTTTCATAGTACAACTAGTTCGATGCTGTAACAAAATCTACTCTATATCAGCTATATACAAGCAAGTGTTTAATTAATATCAAACAAATAGTATCTCATGCTTAAATTTAAACTTTTTTCGAAACAAAGATATCATTAAAAGGATAGGTTCTTCCTTCGTTTTAAAATGATCATTTATAATGAGACCAACAAGTTCACGATGCGGAACATTCAAAATAGTTGCAGTCTAAAAAAGGTTTAATTTCAGGATATAATTTTACACTAGAACGTTCAAAATAAATTAAATCTACTTTTTCCAAGAAAAGTAAAAGCTGAGCATAAGGATTTGTGTATTTCACTAAAACATTTCCTTAGAAATATGGTTAACTACCACTCTTTAGGATTCCTAGCTGTAAGTTAAATGAAAGGAAAAAGATTCCCATCACGTACAGAATTCGATACAGAATTTAAAAATTGCGAAAAGCCGCTGATGACTTTAATCAAACCGTTTGAGTTTTCAGTCTAGCAACCTGCTTGTCATGATTTTTAATATAAACAGTAAAGGAGTTATAAAACAGTCTTCCCTCATACAAGGCAGACAATTGATTGCCACTCTCACAAGGAAAAAATTATTACAAATACAATTCTATAACTTGTTCACTGGTAGGGTGAACAAATGATTCTTATTCACAGATAAACATGAGAAATATGCATTAATAACAAACAGTAAACTGGTTACCTTTTTGTTGATTGACAATTGTTTTCATCACTCACTATTCGATTTCTATAGTTTGAAGAATCTATTTGTACTGATGTGCATCTTGTCACGATGATTCTGACAAGCAGCTTGCAACACATGTATATAATCTAAAATGCGATGAAATACAGAACTTGGATTTTAGTGTAAAAGCCACATCCAATGGTTTGAATTTGAAAATAACATTTAACTGTTTCCATGGACATTTGTCAATGGTAAAATAAATGTAGGAAAGGATATAAATGACACAAATAGAGTTCTGTGACCAGATATTACTTTGATAACTGATTAGGAACCAATGTCTTATCGGCTGTCGCTCAATACTTATCAAACTCTATCATTTCAGTCTAACTGCTACCTGAAATTTAAGTGACTCGATATCGCAGTCCTGATTATTGCCTACTAGTAGAAAAGGCTAGTAAAAATGCAACTTGGTAGTTTTAGTAGATCACTTCACTCTTGTTGTTACAACCTCATTAAACTCGGTTCTCGTCTGGGAACTAAGCATACTAAAAAAGCTTCCAATACATCTAAGCCTTAAACAGTAACATTGTCTGTCAGTTAATACCATGTTGGATTCGAGTTAATAAACTGTTCTACATACCTCCTATTGAAAAGGTGTAACATCTGTTAGTCTAAATGCAGAAGGTGTCATGGTTATGCCAATTTCTTAGAGTATCTATGTACATCAAATATTGCTTATTTGATTGACCACTGGGTAGTAACCAATGGCAAGTTTTTAGTCTTTATTCCCAATCGAATCTGATTGATTAAGTTGCACTATAGTCATTGGTCGAAGTGTCTCGACATTACATACATTGTTTTAATATCAGGCGGTTGGAAATGGTCATTTGGTAACATTGGACCAAGGTTGCATTCTAGAGAAGGTATCTCATTATGAATGCAATAGCTTGTGATTTATTTTCATTGTTTTGTAGACAAAAGTGAAGACTGAAAACAGAGGTATAACGTTGAATAAATAGTAAAGTACAAAATAAATTCTTTAGAGAAAAGTTAAATAATTGCACTTTTAACAATAAAGCAATAAAAAGAAAAGAATTATCTACCCATTTTGAAAAATATTTTCATTTCATTCCGAGCCGAAAAAACGCTAATTCTCCTGGTGTGTATTTATATATCTATCCTTGGTAGTTACTATTGGTAACTTAGCTTTTAGTGAGCAAACAGAAATGTCAGACTGTTTTCTATATCTCAGAAATCTACTAGAAAGATTACAAGTTTCTCGTTGTTATGGTCGTTATTATATTATTACTGGTTGTACAAAAAGAACGGTAAAGTTATTATCTATTCACTATCCGGTTTCTCCTCAATTACGACCGATAAATTATACTTGATGATTTCATCAATTCACATTAATTAATCAGAATAGTAAAATTGTTTGGTTCTTCCAACCATCGAATCCATTCAGGTTTTGTAAACATCAAGTAATGGCGCATATATATTCGTTCTTTAACTTCTCTTAGATCTCGATCCTAGAAAATATCTTAAACTTTATATGCCACGGACCTATTTTTCCTTCTTAAATCATACTGTCTGTGTTTGATCTTTTCTACTGAAACTAATACTCTTACTAACTCTATTACTCAAGCATTTATTTTGATAATTACTTATCGTTAATTTGATATGACTAGGTAATATGAACCGATGCACATGAGTGCCACGTTTTGAAATGACAAACTTCACGGGTAAAACATTGGTATGTAATGTCTAAATCATAATATCTTGGCTGGATATTTTGTATATATACACAACAGTCTAGGTTTTTTAATATTCATTTACCTATTTAGCTTGTTATTCAGTCTTTCGATATTTAGCTAGTTTAAGTTAAGGGGCTGGAGAGTCTTCAGCTTAGTCTCCTTATCTATTAACGGTAATTTTCACATTCAATTATGCTATTTTAAGAATATACTATATAGATGGGAAGATTAAAAGAAAAGCAATACATAAAATAACTATCCATGTAATTTAAATGTGAATGAATAATTGAACGATTTGTCAGTTTTAAATGAATATGAATGAACAATTTATTATTTTTTATAAAATCGTTTACTTCATAATCACATATTTCAGACTCATTGACAAGAACACGCACTTTTAGCAATCATTGACAAGAAGTTTTCAAAATATTTTAGATCTTCAGGCTTTCTGTCATTTAAATTAAGACTCGAGTGCTTTGGAAATTTATTTCACACAGGTTTCTTGTTTCGTTGCACTCAATGATCGATAAACTTTTCTCACTACTTAAGACCGAAACATGGTAATATTTATCCTTTAGCTATCTTATTATGTAACTATCACACAATAGAATAAATGTATATAAAACACCCAGTGAGTTCAGGATGAGTTAGCGCCCCCCAATTAAAAATGAGGGCTTTTTATTATGTCACTAAACAGCAAGTGCTAGATTCGCACACCGAATTTAAATAACAATACTGTCACAGATGTCCGTTATTTTTTCCGATTTCTTCCATCGTAGTATACATTTTCAATGTATTTTAGATTCAAATAAATTAATGCGAAAGACCTTTTGATATGAAACATTCTCCACACCATCATAAAACACAATCTGGCCACCAGTGCACGCCATGATTGAATCTGGAAGTGTTAGAAATAATAGACGCGCAAGACTGAAGATATTGGGTTTGATTTTCGACTGTTTGGCTGCGGACTCTCGCTTCTGAGTCCTATATTGAAACGAAACACCTGTCAAGTTCTTTCAGATTTTCGATAGTTGTTTATTTAAATTGGTTCGTGAGTTCAGAGAGATAAAGGACTTTTAACCCGAAAAAGTTAAACCGTACAAAATAAATCATAATGAAACAGTAAATTGACCTGTCTAGAACTCAAATGTGATGGTAGACAAACATTACCCCCAAAAAGATGTTTTAATTCATATACCATATTTCCTTTACATTAAATCAAAATCTCTTCTATAATATGATGTCGGAAAACTTTCCTTAAACGATTAGTTATCTTTTAGTTTTATATCACGAAATGACCTTAGTGTATACTGGTGGCTAACTTTTAGGCGTAATTTCCGAAGTTATAATGGGAAGCCATGACTAGTAGAATACATTCATTTCGGATTCAAGATGAGTCCTATTAATCGCAGTGGATGATGGTCTTGTTGTACTAAGAACCTCTGAATGACCATTTAGTCATCAGAGGGCTAATTACTCACTGCGAGGCCTATAGATTCTGGATCTGACTCTTGATGGGGTTACAAAATGAGGCTTGACAAGATGTTTCATATTAAAATGAAACAGCTATCCGCTACTCCATATATTTCAATAATTTTCCAAATAAGATCAGTCAGCAAAGGAGAACTTCCTCTACAATCGTTTAAACCAAAGAAACTAGTTATGTCGTAATAACTAATGAGTGAAAGAAGAGTGTTTGGGAATAAAAATACATTTAGGCTACAAGTTTTTTTAATCATGTGAAAAGTAATTAGGCTTTTAGATTTTAGAGAGAAATCAGTGAACCAATCAATGTCCGTTGAGGGACTTTTTTACACGATTGTTTCAAAGGTGAAACAAATTTTGCTTTAAAACGAGTAGGTAGATATAGCTAAGTAAATTTCAGTTTTGAACATTACGTATGTCACAATTTTTTTTATTTTCAGGATAATCCAACTATGAAGAAGATTTAAAAATCTAAACTAAACAATAAGCAAAATAAAAATAGTAATCGCTATAGTTACGTGTAAATGTAGAAAACTGTTCGACCTTTATAAAATGCTTTGATGTGGAATGCATTTGTAAGTGTAAATAACAATGAGGTTTATAATAATATAAATAATTTATTAATTAAAATAGGTTTACACGGGAGCATATTTATTTCTAAAAGAAAATTGAGCCGGTGGCCGTAAGCTAAATTAAATGTCATCGCTTAACTTATAAAACTACTTTGTTCATGTGAAAAAATACAATAAAGATATAATATCTCATAATGGTCATCATAAAACTCCAGAAGATGGTTTGTATTACGAAACAAAATCAACATTTAATTGTCAATATTTAAAGAGTATTTGACGGTTTTCCATAAGCTGGATATTGTATAGTTTTTAGGTGAGAACTCTTAGCTTTGGTGGCAGATTTGTAACTCCGAAGCGACAATGTTACGTGTCATCGGCATATGATATTTCACTCTAAACAGCTTCAGAACATTAAAGAGGAATGTATTTATAAAATATTAGGCATCTTTGGTTTTTGATTCAACAATACCGCTGAGATTTTAAACCTCACTTGCTCAAATTTATTCGAAAGTTTTTATTTAAGCTTTAGAACATGGTTCAAATACAATCTAATGTGATCAATAAACACGTGCTCTGACCTAGAATTATGTCAGTAGTAAGAAATTAGTCAGTCTAAGTGTTTTGTTATTACAATACACTGTTTATAAACCGAAATCTTAATAATCTACAACTAGTTACCCCGGTAAAGTTCCTTAAGATATATAGGATAACCTTACAATATAACCAAATTTTATAATTAACAAACATTTAGGGTTATTTTGGTGAATAATATTCGTTTTTTAATGTTAAATTTTATATACAGTCCATGAGGGTTAAGTCTAAATAAGTTATTGTAGACAAGAGGTTTATTTTCAAACACTTTATTGTTTGATAATTTGGTACAAAACCATTAAAAACTGTATTGTCATTTGTATTTTTGGACACAAATATACATTGCTGACAGTCCAAAACTTGCTGATTTTTGGAAAATAATACTTTTTGAGCACCTGTCACACTAGGAATCGTGGTTCTCGAGTAAAGTTATAAATCCCTTACTGGAATCTAGTGACAGTCATTGTCAAGAGACCTTTTTACCAAATCATCTTTATAAAACACAAGTATGTGTTTGGTGGAAGAGTGAGAGTTAAAAGCCAACTAACCAAGACATGCAAGCACTTGCAGTTCACCTAATGTGCGCATATCAGATAACTAACTGAGTTACGACAGTTAGAATATGACTGGATAAATTCCTAATTCCTAGCTAACTTAATCAGTAAATTGCACTTTTTAAAGCTCATCTATCCATGAATTCAAATGGTGCACTTCAAATGTTTAAAAAATTGTGTCTAAATGTGTAAACAAAGCATCCTACTACAGGAAAAGGCAAAAATTGTCGACGGTAATTTAGTACGTAATGTTTGGTAAAAGGCTTGTAAAAGAAGTTGCCTGTAACGTTATACACCATGTCAATAAAATGTCGTATAGCTAGTTTTCACGTCTATGCGTCCTTTTTAGGACTAACGTGCATCCATTATGAAATCTCAAATGAAATATGAAAGTTTATTGGCAAATGAATCATCTTGAGGTTTAAAGATAGCATGACTTCCAAGAGTTATTAAGACAACCTTTATTATTCGTTAAATTATTAAAACCTATTGATGCACAACGTGTGAAATACATAGGAAATATTATAGAACCACGATTGAAGCAATGAAAATTTTAGAAATCACACCTAAAAGCATGCTCTTCGAGTATGGAAATATAAAATAAGTTCTGTATCGGTTATTTAGTTAACACATCTAAAGTGCTAACAAAGATGTTGAAATCAAAACTCCGAAATTTGTTGTGAGGATCGATAAGCGTCAATACGATTCACACAAAAGACATTGAATAACTTAAATCAATATACTGTTTTCATATTCTATAGGTCTGACTATCATCAGTCATTGTGTTTTTGGCAATAACTGCTTACTGTTCGTCAAATTAAAAAGCGACAACACAGAAAGACAACAGATAGACTGAGTAGCCTAAAGTAAAATTTATTGTCTCAGGAATAAATGTAAAGAAAACCAGTGGGAGTAATTTACTTTTGGAATATTTCTTAGCCTTATTCTTTCCGGTCCATGCAATAAAACGTTCTGACGTTTAAGAAATGCTTCTAAACTGAACTGTCCGCTAATTTTATCAAATGAAAAATTTAATTACTAACTTACCGTGATCCGAAATATATTCGATAAGGATTCAGATACTTTTCAAATTTATATACGCATTCAACTTGATTCTGGGTTTGTATAGACCCTGGTCTATGGAAATAAAATGTTTTAATACTTCTAACCTTCGGAATCTAACATATTGTATTGCTTCTCCAGCGGAGATGCGGTTATTAAATACTAGATAACAGGCAATTATTACACCAGTTCTACCTGAAAAGTTATGCGGAGATGCATATAAACAAACCAAGTCCGGCATGACAGTGAATTGCGATTTTTCCTTTAAATATTGCAAACTGGATTACCGTCACTGTATCCAAAATGAACTGCAGTGATGCGACATCGTAGTCACACCTTAACACGATATTCGTCAAAATAACTGATACATACCAGCTAAAATTGTAAAAAGCAACTGTATATCTTATCTTTTTAGATCAAAATACACTTACTATTGTTTTTCATGAAGCTTAATGGGTTATATGAAAATCCAGAACTGAGTAAACCAAAGCCGCAACTACTGTGTTCCCCTGCTGTTTCCATGTTAAATATGGAACGAATACTCATTCTTTCATAGATTTGTGCCATTACTCACTATACCTTTTAAACTGCTCAATTATTTCAAATTCTTTAATTAATTTTTCACTTGGTCTAGATGTTGCCAGTATATTTTGTGTAATCCTAAACCTTATATGTAATAATACGAATACCAAGTAGAGTATAAGCCATTTAAATGCATTTTGGTTACGTCGAAAAATGATGAAGGGTTGCAATATTTACATTTCGATCCGCCACAAAACAATAAACAAAGGTTTTTCTCTGGAATTCCTTGTCGCATGACATCAGAAACAGGAGAATTAAGGCTCTTCATACAAACACCTTGGAAGTTCAATAATTACAAGAGAACTACTTCTATATTTCAGGTTGCTATTGTACTTTCCATCCCAATTTAAAATCTCCGAAATGTACATCACCTAAATATTTCAAAAGGTGACTTCACAATGACCTTTATGCACTTGATATGTGAGTATTTTAAACAAGAAAAAAGGAACCGAAAGCATCCAAAAGGCCACTGTAAAATTTTGGCCTTTATAAATCATTTGTAAAACGTGAAATGATGCGTCAAGTAACCTGTATTTTATTGTTAAACTAAATTGAGTATGGAGATTTGTAAGGACTGTGGTATTTTAGCAGTTGACATCATTAGTTGGTCTAAGTTAGATCACCAGTTAAAACCTGCAAGCATTGGATGGCCATTTCATTATAGCATGGGACTCAGATTTGCCCATCCCTCAAGGGTTATACAGAAACGTAGATTGATTAAAGGCAGACAATAACCCTGTTAGGTCCCAGCTAAGTAGTCTTGATTAAAAGCGTTCTCATGTGAGGCCAAACGTTCTAGTTTTGAGTCCTGTGTGCAGGGTATTAAGCGAGTACTGCTGAGGAACCACATACTGGGATTGATAACTCATTCTGTGCCCTCAGGTTTTTACTGGTAGTTTGCCTTAGATGGACTCATTATTTCAACCCTGAATATTGTTCAAGTGTCTTTACATTACAATTACAACTTCTATATTACTTCTTTATTTTGGCAACTCTATGTTTCGGTCTTTGCGTATTAACTTGTCCTCGGTAAATGCTTCCTTGTTTCGTATTTTTTTGTACATGTTGAATCACAATCTTTCGTAACCCCCGTATTGCCTTTTAGTGACGGAAAAAAATGCACAAAAAACTGTCGAATTATAGCGGCAAAGATACTGATACAAAACAAATGATATATCGGTAGTTGTTATAAAATAATTTAGTTATATATTTCTACAATAAGAAAACGACGTAATGATTTGAAGTGGTTGGCGAAAATTTTCACAACAGCGATCATAACATAGTCCCTAGCACCCTTCCGATTCTTGCCATGTGCAACAAATTAAAGACATAAAATACGTGTTTTTTTAATACAGAGACTATGCAAACGCTGATTGGGAAAAATTTCGATTTCTAATAAAGCACTCTGACTGGAGCAGTTTCTTTACAAGTGATAACCTCTTAGAAACATTAGGAATATCCAATACCACCACTAAATACACACTAGACACTACTATATCCTCTAAAATCGCTTTTAAAACAAAAGGCTAGGCCTAACCTGCGAAAACTGAAAAGGACGTACTATATATCAAAAGACTTCAGTGCCCTACACCAGATATACTCTGTAGTTGACGGAGTACAAAGTCAACACAACAATGCATAAATAATAATAATAATAATTTATTCTCAAATAACAGTTTTTTACATGAGGCATGCCAGTTTACAGGCAAGATCAAACCGATACAAATGATACAATATCCACTGTAGTAAATTACATAGCTGGGTTGATAATTTATAAGATATGAATGTAGATGGTTGTAGTCAGCATAACAGTTGGCGTGCTTCATGAAAGTGGCGTTGCGAATGTGCAACTGATGGTCAAGGATAGGTCCATTGAATGTGGGAGCTTCTAAATGTCGCAACCTTATGTCCCTTTGGAATGTCTAAGGCTTTGAGGATGGTGCAGGATAAAATCTTTCGTTCCATATCACAAGGGGGCTGAAAGAGGGAGCAAGTAAAAGAAAACACGAGGGGCAGAGTAGCCAATATTCATGAAGGAATGTTTAAGGTATGATTACTCAGTCTAATTTTCTTTTATTAAGGTATTTGTTAAGCAAGAGCATTTAAATAGGTTAGAGAAAATGAGTGTTAACAAGGTGTGAGTGGACATACAACTGACAAATGGAGGCGATTCGGAAAGGAGCTGAAAGTATGGGGTTATGTGTGATTATAAAATAAAATATAGTGTTAGAAACAGTATTGTGATATACAATTGGCTGTCTTCCTTTTATTATCGAAGCTATTAGAGCCCCTTTTGTTTTTTTGTATTTTTTTTCAGGTATTATAGGGTCTTGAGTGGGCTTCGTATATTAGCAAATTGTCTAGTTTGCTTGTAATAGGAACGTACTTCGCTCACTGCTGCATCTAAAGCCCAAAGCTTATGTCGTCTTCTCGCAAAACGCATAAGAAAGAACGCAGATCACAACATTCACTGTTTACTGTACGATAAAGTGACGTATAATGACCAAACCGTCATATGTAAACTATTAAGTGAATGGTTTCCTCACAATGGGATTGCATCTCATGCCATAGATATCAACATAAAGTGCATCAGCAAAAATGATCTTAGTACCATAAAGTTCGACATTAGGAGCATACATACCGCTATTAAAACGCTTAAGCCAAATGGCAGTTTTGGTGCCGATCATATCCCTTCAGTCCTTTATAAAATGTCAGGATCGGACATACAGACACTACTACTCAAAACATACACCTTATCTTTAGAGATAGGTGCATATCCGGAAACCTGGAATGTAACGCATGTTTTTCCCAAACACAAATCCGGACCGAGAAACCTGGTCGAAAACTACAGATCCATAAATATCACTCCAGTCATATCACGAATAATAGAAAAAGTGATACAAAATCAACTATCTGTTCACCTACTCAAGGAAGACCTAATAGACCCGTCACGACACGGCTTCATTAGAACAAGGCCGTGCAGTACATGTCTGGTAGACATTTTTAACGAGGTTACTCGCATACGTGACCAGAAGAAACTAGTTGTTATACTATATTTCGATATTAAGAAAGCCTTTGATAAGGTACCTCATAATCTTCTAATCAGCAGACTTAAGTCAGTTGAAATTATAAACGCCTTTTTGCAATGGATCAGGTCTTTTCTTACGAACAGATAGCAAATAACCAAGATCAACTCTACAGCATCTACACCTCGACCAATAACCAGTGGTGTTGTGCAGGGTAGTATCTTGGGTCAAATGCTCGTGATAATCTACATCAACAATATATGCAAGTGCTTTAGCATAGGTATTACCTGCCTCTATGCCGATGACTTGAAAGTCATCCATAAAACTGACATTTGATTTGTACGTAGTACTATGCAAACAATCCAACATGAACTCTACATGATAGATGACTGGTGCAAACGCTGGACATTAGAGCTCAACACAGAGAAGTGCGGCTGGTTCTGTATAGGGGACACGTCTCTCAAAATAAAACCAACATTTAGCAATCACACACCGCCCAGACTGGCATCAGTAACTGACCTAGGGGTGCATTAATAATACAGTCTTCATTTCTCTGAACACATCCCAGCCAAAGAATCTAAAGTGCGGAAATTGCTCGGCTTCATTCTCCTTAATTTCTATCACAAAGAATCTAAAATCCTTCTTTATAAAGTTTGTGTAAGACTCATCGTTGAATACTGCTCGTTCTTATTTTCCAACCTCCGTCTACCTGATATACTAACGGTAGAAGGAATACAACGAGACTTCGCCCGCAAAATACTTAGGACTAACTCAGTCATTGACTACAGTTCCAGATGCCGAATCTTAGGAACTGCACCCATTTGGGAGAGAAGGCTTAGGTCTAATTTGATTCTCTACTTCAAACTACTCTAAAACCTTACTTATTCAACATGTAAGACAGTTCTTGCCCGAGATTCACGTGAATACGACATTCGAAACAAAGTATCTACGGTCAAATTTGAAAAATACAAATCAAAAACTCAGGAAAACGTCTTCCTCATCAAGTATGCAATAATATGAGACAGTTTTCCCCCGAAATTCACATGGCAGATGAATTACGTACGTTTGTCAAACTGCGTGATCAAACCCTCATTTGCACTGGATACAGAAAACATGTTCACACTACTGAAAATCATTCGCATTTTTACCGCACTGTATGTCCTTTTAATCGCTATCGTCAAACGATTTATCAATACATCAGATGTTCTGCTCAACTGCACTCAGATTATAATACACATTGAGTTAATTTCTTGTTATCTCAAATCCTACACGTACCATGCACTTTCTCGTTGACAGATAAAAATCCACGTCACTTATAAGCTCCATTTCGTGAAACATGATCACTGAAATAGCCTCGCGTACTATTTAAAGAGTATCTTACGTCACTTTCTTCGAATGGCCTCAACATTGAAGAAACCTGTACATCACTTAAACTCCGCAATTCGATATGATCTACGCAAGACTACTCATAAGCTGATAAAGATACTTTTGCATGTACGCGACAGTGTAAAGATGTAGCAAGTTCATCTAGATTATAAGGAAAGCTTAAAGCCTCAAATCGCTAACACCATGACCGGTGTAATATTTTACATCGACACCATTTTTATCATCGTTTTTAATCACGTCATCACATCACATTCGTTCAAGTTAAATTAGACACATTTTGGTGAGTAAACTGCTTTGAATTAAGTGCATTTTTCTGACTAGCTGCCGATTATATTTCTCATTGGTTTCCGATTCCAATACAGCTGGAAGCTTGGAGTCATTAGGACGAGACAAATTAAGATTAAGTTAAACGTCAATAACTTTATCATACTGTTTTAAACCAACTGAATAGTCCTTTTTATTGCGATTTAAGTGGGATTTACATTCTGTGGATGGTTATTCTCTTTTGAAATGTTCTTTGTGAAGACTCTCAGTCTGTTTACGACCTTTGAGATTGTGTATCTACGGCCAAAGCTAAAAAATACCTAACAAGAACCCGTGTAAACGTTTTCCTCATTATTTATGCACTAATCTTGAACAGTCCCATCTCTAAATACTCGTGACAGATAGACTACATACGTTTATAAAACTTCTTCATGAGGCCTTCACTTTCACCGATCTCCTATCACCTGTGAACATACCTGTATCCTATCCAGATATCATGGCGCTTTGCATTTTTAAATCATATCAGACTCTGAGTTTAGTTTCAACTTCTCTTCCTCGTTGCAGTTGTAATAAATATACCTCCTTGTCTATATGTCCTTTTTGAATTGTTACTTGAAGTACATAGTCAGCTACATTGACCAATTGATGCTGCTCAACTATAGTCGACTGAAAGGGGAGTTTACTACTATCCTAAAGTTTTCACAACGTAGGACATGATAATTTATCC